GTCGCTTTGCTGACGGTTTACGTTAATGTACTTATTTGTTAATAATTAACAGATAGTATTACCATTCGACATTATATATCCCGGTAATAGCCAGGCACTACTATATTCACAGCTATGCTTGTAGAATGCTACTTTTCAATAATGCATTGACGGATGAAATGCTATATTAAGATTAGTTCATGGTCCAAAGCACATTATGATAACTAATGTACGGTGATGGACATACCAAATTAAGATTAGCAGGTACTGTAAAAACGATATCGATAGTGCGGTACAATATCCTTAGTACTGCGGTCAATTCTACACCCATTATGATAATGTGTCTAAGGATCGCTTACTCTGTTAATAAAACCGCTATAAGAAAATGGAACAATCAAAATGGCCGTGCCAGAAAACTCTATAAAAAAGATTTTTATGTTTATTCAATTTTCATCAGAGTACCTTATCCAAAATTTAGCCTCTTTAATAAAATAAATAAAAAATGCCACCCATTCACCCTTTTAAACGAGCAGCGCGGGGTATTCATACTACTGTTCGATGACTGATTATGGGTTCATTTTAATAGGTCAGTATAAGATTCTTCAGTACTTTTTACCTCAAGATTTCTTCATGTAAAACCAATAGCTCTAAGATTTTTAATGGTATTTTGGCTTCTAGATTTACTATAGAGTAGAGAATTCTTTGTTTTAATATATAATAAAATGGATTCTTCTTTTTTATTTCAGTACTATAGGCGCGTATATACTATACATAATTACTGCATCGAAGTTTTTTGATTTTTTACTGACTTGTGTGAATACTATTACATTTCTAACAATATGATACTGGCTGGAAAATTTTGGAATTGAATTGCCTATTCTATATTTTATGAGCATTTTACCTTAGAAATATCGATTACAATACTTAATAATGGATCACAATAGAATTTATCTCGATTGAATAATATTCAAAAGTTGAAAAGCAATCAGCTTTGTTTTATTCTATTGGTGTCCAATTTACTCTTCGAAAGTTAATTTTTGATTTGAAAGGATGATGCAATAAAAAAAGATCATTTAATAAAGGAAAAAATTCATTTCACTATTTAAGATGAATATTATTGATATAAGATTGAAATAATATTATTATTTCATTCATTTCCAACGTAAGAGATACTCAAAAATCGTCGAAATCGGATTGCTTGATATTTATCAAGAGATCAAAGTGTCATGGATGGCTATTAAATATGTTCATTATTCATTGACTTTGGTAGTTTTTGCTCTCATTTTATGAGGAATTGCTACCAGTTTTTTCCTTTGTCACAATAGTCATGCACTTCATTTTGTTCTGCTAGCATTAGACTTAGCTTCATAATTTTAACTATAAGGGTCATAGATCGCGGTTATACAAAAATTTCATTAAAAAAGAATTAAAAAGGAGTTCTTCAATGTCTTTATTACAAGTCTTAGCTGTTATTTGCACCCAAATTATAATCATGATGCTCTTTCGGTCAATTTTGAATAATGGAAAGTACTGCCATAATAAATAAAGTACTTCTATGGAACTTATCTAATTGATTACCTAGTCAAATTGCAATCTATTAATAAATATAAAATTGATTCATAATTGCTTTAGTGAAATTTTTTGTTCTCGATCTCTTTATTGGGAAGAATAAAGTTGCTACCGTCAGCGTTATTGTCTAGAGAACTTGACAACTTGTCCATCAACTATTAACGGTATGAATTCTTGTGCAAAATAAGAAATAAAAATAAAATAATAATGTTGCTACGATAAGAATTTACTAGATTGTTATTTGTAAGATTATACGATCACACACTAGCACAGGGACCTTAATTATTAACTTAGTTTATTTTTGGTAGTTCAATAAGACAAATCTTGAAGGCAGTTTATAATCATAGAAGTAATAGAGCTCAACGTGATATACTGTTTAAAGCTGTATGATATGGGTTCATTTCAATAGGTCAGTATAAGATTCTTATAGCACTTTTTACCTCAAGAAGGCAGTTTATAATTATAGAAGTAATAGAGCTCAACGTGATATACTGTTTAAAGCTGTATGATATGGGTTCATTTCAATAGTTCAGTATAAGATTCTTACAGCACTTTTTACCTCAAGATTTCTTCATGTAAAACGAATAGCTCTAAGGTAGTCATTTCTGCAGAGTACTAGTTTTTAAAATAGTATTCATTATATCGCTAAGGGTGGATACTGGGCCTTTCAATTTTGATTTGATGTAATACTCTAATGAAAATTGAATAAGCATAGAATCTTTATAGAGTTTTCTACACAGCCCTTTTGATTGTTACATTTTCTTATAACGGTTGTTATCGACAGAGCTAGCGATCCTTAGACACATTATCATGATTGGTATACAATTGGCCACAATACTAAGGACATTGGACCGCATTGTCGATATCTTATAGTACGTCTTAGACACATTATCATGATTGGTATAGAATTATAGAATTAAAATTGACCGCAGTACTAAGGACATTGCACCGCACTATCGATATCTTTTTTACCGTCCCTGCTAATCTTAACTTGGTATGTCCATCACCGTACATTAGTTATCATAATGTGCTTTGGACCATGAACTAATCTTAATATAGCATTTCATTCGTTAATGCATTATTGAAAAGTAGTATTCTACAAGCATAGCTGTGAATATAGTAGTGCCTGGCTATTACCGGGATATATATATAATATCGAATGGTAATACTATCTGTTAATTATTAAGAAATGGGTTTGCTCTAATTCGATATTATGACTAATAACTCCGGCTACAATTTATAATATCCATGGATGATTGAATATTGAATAGAATGATGAATTTCGTAACGATTGATTTTGGATTATGATGATTATTACTTTTACTATGACTAGGAAGGTATTTCAAAGATAAAATAGCAGGGGCAATACCTAAGTAAGAAGTATTGTGATAGAGAAATTGTTCAAGCAGACTAGGGAGTACAATACAAAGATTAAAAGTGATTTTGTTTAATCCTTATTTTTTGAATAAAGGACATCAGGTGTAACTATTTCCAAAATAATTAAAAAAATATTACCAATTTATTATATTTTAGTTATATTATCCGTTATAAATCAAAATAATAAGTAATGAAGAATAATAGTTGTATCTCACCGTATTAAATAAAAGGCAACAACTCAATCCATTTCTACACCCATTTTTGCTTGGAATCTAAAGCGTCAAGTTGATGACCATCTTTATTCTATAGAAATTTTAATGGACAATTGACTGAAATTACAATTGAGCATTTAGGGATCTGGAAGTTATCGTACTGAATCCCTCCCATTCTTCTTGAATGTATTCGATAATTGATAAGTGAATAGTCAAGGCATAATGACTTAATTCCATATCCAGTCATGAATAGATTGGCGTCGAATAGGTTCCCATGAATTATTAAAATCTCTCACATGTCTCAATCATGCTTTTCATCAAGTCTATACCATTAAAGTAGTGGTAGCAGTTCAAGTCATGACATCTAATTCCTGTCTAGACTATAGATGAGTTATTTTACATCAGATCTACATCTCAAGGAAACGTTCAGATATCTAATATACGCGCACTTGAAAATTGGACTGGTTGCTAGTAGTTATGGATATCTTCATACATATGTTTATACTCAACTTTATGTCTACCATTAACAAAAAGGACTTTAGGCCTTTTGAGCTTTCAATATAGGATAACATTGGCAGATAAACGGATGCAATACTAAATCCAGAATCTCCGTTATTCTATGTTAGAAAGTACTGTTTTGAAAGCTCATGATGCCTAAAGTCCTTTTTGCCACTGTAATATTAATAACAAACATCAAAGTGGGCTTGAACATATGTATAAACATATCCATTACCATTGCAACGAATTCAGTTTTCAAGTATCATCGATGTCTGACAGTTGCCTTTTGATGCAAGACAATGATGAGATTGATTGGCGTTGAAATCAATACATGAATTATATTGACTATAGCTGTCTAGCAATGCAAATCAGCACTATTAATAGAATAGTAGGAGCTTTGAAGAGAATAATCAATTAATCCATAATTGCCATTTTTGATCTCTGTTAGTGTTGAAATGTCGTCAATATTTTCTATACAATTTGACAGATGGGTATTTGTCATGGATGTTTGGTTGAGCGTATTCATGTCTAGAGAATAGGTTATTGTAGAATGGTAATTGGCTAAAGCGATCAACTCTGCGTTGATGACGACTTTCAATTTATACGAAAATTTCAATATGATCATTCTGTATTAGTGATTGATTGATTGTATGGCAATACGAGTAAGGATTAGAATAAAGTCATGAAAGATGGAAAATAGCAACTGGAATGATCACGTCAATAATATCTATTTAATAATTGAAGGATGTGAATTCTACTATCTCAATCAAAGGCAAATTAATTGCTCGCTTCATTGATTTCCATAATTCAAATCAGCTGTTATAATATATTCACCGATTGTCTGTATAGTTATAGAATGATCAAGTATTGAGAATGACATTAGGTAGGTGAAAAATTGATAACATCGCCATAAAGAAGGAAAACATGCAAAAATGACTATTAAAACAAATCTAGTTTATTGCTTTATTGACTGTAAGATGAGATAGACGCATATGATGTTGAATTGTATATTACAGTATTTTTCAACGTCATTTCCACCAACTTTCCATCTGATTCATTTTTGTTGGATAACAAGTGTAGATTGGATAATCGCTTAGTGGAAAGATATATAGTACGGTATATAAGTAAGAGTGCCTACTGCCTAGCGTTTGAAAGGGAGGCGCCTATGCAAATTTCAATAGTGCTGTAGTACTCTATTTTGATTAATTAAACAAAGTTTTATTGATTGATAAAATTCACGTGGAGAATTCGCAGCAGCATATGAATAAATTTTTCTATTCTATTTAGATCATGAAAATGATATACTTTTATTGTACACATACATGTACAGCCAATAGTAAAATTTTGGATCATGAAAATGATATACTTTTATTGTACACATGTACAGCCAATAGTAAAATTTTGACTGTACAGAGAGAGAGAGAGAAAAAAAAAATAGCAACAGTAAACAGTGCATGAGTTTTTGTCAAAGAGAGAAGAATTTATAAAGTGCAGTCTATGTGCATTTTTAACAGGAACTATCTATGAACTTGGAATAGTATTGTCATAGACTAGATACAAAACATCCTTTCATTCTACTATCATGAATACCAATGATTACTTTTAACTTTTTACATGTCGAACTTTGAAACAATGCTCAAGAATCATAGTGAAACGTTTGAATGGACAAATAAATACATGAATACTGGCTTAAATAGCTCGACAAGGTGCAGGAAATTGTCCACTGATGTACAAAATGTGATCACTAATGAACGACGGAAGATAGGCCATTAAGGATAGTATATTGGCTTCCAAACCTACCAGATATCGTTCACGAGGTTTAGGGGAGAATAAGGCATTTTTGATAGCTTTGGTTACTTTAGCGATATTATTGGAAGCACGGGATCGATTGAATTCAGTTATTTTCTTGACACCTAAATGAGAAAGAGACGACGAAGATTGTTTTCGATTCAATTCAATCATAAACTCAATTGTATCCAATTGGTTTGAAGTATTTTAATAGTAATGCATGATGGAGAATAGATTCTTTTATGCATTGGTATACAGTACATGTATTGTAATCTAAAGTACTGGCAGTGATTGATGATAGCAAGAACGATTGATTACCTTCTTTTGCAAAATGGTCGCCATAATCTTGACGTATTGTGCTATTACAGTTATGATAAAGTTGTAGGAATTCATCTTCTAAATTATCTAATATATGAGTCTTGAAAAAACCAGGTTCAATAATGTGTACCGATACATTGAATAGTTTCATTTCTCGGCGTAATGAATCGGAGAAGGCTTCGACAGCAAATTTGGACATGCTGTAAGATGCAGAATAAGGCACACTAAATCTGCCTAGCATACTCGCCAAGTTGACAATTCTTCCTTGATCGATTTTAATCAACGGTAGCATTGCTTTGGTCATTTCAACCATACCAAAAACATTAACATTGAAAATTTGTCTCAATTTGGATAGTGGTGTCCATTCGATAGCCCCTGTGGATGCGATACCAGCATTATTGACCATACCCCATAAGCCTTTCCCCATAGGTAAGTGTTTTCCAACGAGATCGACAGCACGATGAATATCATCACTGTTGGTCACATCGACTATGATAGGATAAAGACGATTACTACATATGCTTGTTAAATCTTCTACACCTCGTTTAGTTAAGCAACAAGCAATAATATTGCAACCACATAGATCTAATTCAATGGATAACTTTCGGCCGAATCCGCTATCACAACCTGTAATAAGAACATATTTATCGTCCAAGTTTTTGATTTGAGGTCGAGGTGACCAATAGATGATGGCTGCAACAACAAATAAAATCAGGCCTAACATGGCCAGTACTACCCATTCATTCATGGTAAAGAGGAATGATTGACTTTTTTTAGCTATGATTTGTCAACTAGAATAACCTTATGTAGTGTAGAGAGCCCAATCCAGGGCTGCACACTGCATCATCACGCCAACTTGCTGGACGCCATTCCACAGTCTATCGAGTATGAGGACAAAAGGTGATTGAAGGAAGTCAGCGTTCTGGTGATGCTTCCCAATGGATTTCAGTGTATGATACAGTAGATTGTATGCTATACAAGTCCTCTACAATGTGGCGCAGCTATTATATCGTATGGGTTCGCTTTTGTTGCGCTAATACTAGAATAGTAAAAGCTACCCTTATTAAGGACTAAAAGCATTTCCAGTAGTTCTTGCTACAGTATAGCAAGCGATGAGCGAGAGATTGGCTAATAATATCACTGTCCACCGTGCTTATTTTGTTTTCAGATGTAGAAAATGGCAAAAAATATTGCTGAAACGAACGTAAATATACTGCACTTTATGTAGCTCGAGTCTGTCCAATGTCCACGCAAGAACAGTCAAAGCACAGAATGATAATAATTATTAATTATTATGAATTATTATGTGTTGGACTTTGCCACAGTACTGTACAGTGTACACTATACTACAGTATGTACAACCAACATGATAACAGGGCCGTGCATAAAAATTATCACTTCTGTCCTAGAAGGACAGCACCTCTTTCTACGGTAGAGGTGATAACTTTTATGCAACGGGGGACAATTTTGATGGAGTCAGTCCCTGTTAATAGCCACTTAACCATGGCTGAAAATAAGCCCACACCAACCTAATTTAGAGTCCTGGTGAGCAATTGTAGATGTACAGAACAGTTAAAATGACCAGAGAAACCAGGGTTAGCCTTCTCATTTTTAGACAACGAAAGTCGTTGATAGTCCTTCTCTCTTTCATGTAGAACTGTAGTTTAGCAGTCCCTGGTATTACTTATATCCCAGTCCATGCAGTCAGTGTATGTAATGGACGTTGCCACAGTGCACTGTACTACAATATGCGCAAACAACATGATAACAGTGCCGTGCATAAAAATTGTCACTTCAGTCCTAGAAGGACAACATCTCTTTCTACGGCAGGAGTGATAACTCTTTTTATGCAACAGGGGACAATTTTGAGTTAGTCTCTGTTAATAGCCACTTAACCATGACTGAAAATAAGCCCACACCAACCCAATCTAGAGTCTTGATGTGCAATGATAGATGTAGAGAACAGTGATAATGACCAGAGAAACCAGAGAAAAGGTTAATTAGCCATCACATTTTTAGACAACGAAAGTCGTTGACTGCCCTTCTCTCTTCATTTAGTACTGTAGTTTAGCAGTCCCTGGTATATCCTAGTCCATGCAGTCTGTACAAACAGATTTATACCAGAGGTTACTAAATATGATATAGAATAGCTGTAAGTGTTAGTTTAGGAAGGCTTACTATAGACTCTGCAGACACCCTGTGCTATAATCTACCGTCGACGGTATAAAAGCCGAGGAGTTTTTAAGGGAGAGGGTGGTTGGAGGTGTAGACACCCTATGCTATAATCCACCGTCGATGGCATAAAAGCCGGGAGTTTTAAGGGAGAGAGTGGTTGGAGGTGTAGAAGGTACTTCAGAGGAATATTCTCTAGCTGAGGCGGGAGCCTTTCTCTGCCACCGTACTTTGCCAACGTTGTCTACATTGTATAGGGTCCAGCAGGTATTCGTGGACTGAATTGTTGGATCAACATCAATGTATCACTCCCCTACATTCCATGTATAAAGTACAGTACAGTAGATTCCAATTTTATGCTTGTAATATAGCAGAGTCGTAGATTGATATTGATGCAGTATATTTGATATATTCCGAGAATTCGGGCAATATAACCAAATACCCGGGTGCAATCAATAAACCACATAAGTATAGATATGGATTGTTGCCATTCTTTATTTACGTTATACAATTCAACAGGTATTGAATCAGACGTAAAACAGAATTAGTTTTAGACGTCTGTCTTGTTGTTATTTTCAGAATATGGTAATATTGCGTGCTTCTGCAGTGATTCATCAATGTACAGTATAACAAATTATTATTAAGCAGGAGCTAGCTTTAGTTGACACTTTATTAATTTAAAAATGTAGTTTCATAATTAGTAAAACTGCCAAATTCATTGCCTAACTTGTTGGCGTGTTTAGGTCTAAATTGGCATACATTTAAGTTCAGTAATCGTTCCGCAAGTGTTTGCATCTTTAGACCTGCCAAAATTAAGTTAATCGTTAGTTTCTGTACTGTTACGCCATGCTCAATATTATATACGCGTATATCGAACACAGGCACTCTTGCACGCCTATACGTAGATTGGAGCTATTTGCTGCGCATAACATAGCATAAGTTACTTTTATGAATATGCAGATATTACAATAACTGACAAAATAGTTTTCGATTAGCAATGCCATCCAAGTATTTGGAGATTGCGCTTTAAATATTAGTGTTAGGCTTAAATACGCAGGCATAACATTATAATTGCTATCGAAACTTACCTGTACAAAGTATTATTTTGTCTTTAGTAAGGTAACGTATACTGCAAGCGGTCTTTGTAAGACACTCCTCTGTCAGAAATGGCGGATCAGCTACTACTACATCGAAGGAATTTTTACCAACAGAAGAAGGAAACTTCATCGGTTCATTGTAGTCATAGAAAATAAAATCATCGCCATATATCTCAAATCTCTTGTCGTATTCGAATATTATATATTGCACATTGTCCGGATTGAGTTCTACCAACTTTCGATACAAAGTAGGGCAACTTAAACAAGCTATACTATAAAAATAAAAACCCAAAATATTCATTATCGCTAGACATTACATTATTGATGAGTATAGTACTTGATAACGATCTTAACATTCTGATGGAATCTACGAGATTTTATTGCTGTATGTCAATCTTAGTACAAAACGTACTTACAACGTAGATAATTATAGAATTAGTAGTAGATTCTAGTGGGTTGTTGTACAGTGTGTGCCAAGTCATTATGTCGTATTCAAGACAAGAACGTTGCATACGAGTATTAGCGACAAGATAATGATAGAATCCTAATACATACCTTCCATTATTGCTCGCTTTTATCGCTTCTTTGGCTAGTGTTTCTGCAGTTTGGTTATCATACCAAAATTGGCTTAATTGCTAGATTTACAATACACGTGTTTAAATAAAGTTAGTTTAAAAATTAAAAGATTGACAGTATGCGAAATCTTTACTGTTAAGATCAATTTTTCAGTGCGATGGAAACACCTCAGTCATGACTGGGCGTCCAATAGAGTGTTATCAATTCCCTTCAATATTGAGCTATTACTATGTGGAGGATTCTAGCGTAGTCTAAGTACGAGTATTTGACAGTACGTATCATTCAAGTGCAAAGTAGGACAACATCGTTCATTACTATTACTTTTAATTTTATTTCAAAAAGCGTTGCGGTAACATGAACTTGTGGAGGTGCTAGTAGTCCATGGTAATGGATAAAGCAGAAACTTAAGTATGGTAGCAATTTGCAAAGTATGATGTACTACACCGTAGTCTTATTTGCAATAAGATTAATTCACTAAATGCATTGTACTCTTTTGCACGACCATGCTCCTTACCCAATCCTCACCAACGCAATTTTGATCTTGAGCTTGAGATTGCTCTTGGTAGAAGTCTTGTAGGGCTGCGAGAGTGTTAGCAGACAGTCTTGGGACGTCATCGTCACTATCATTGATTTGTTCAGCCTGCTGCAATGACATTATTACGGATTCACAATAGTGAAATTAATTAAAATTTTGTTCAATCTAATCCAATGGAGTACAAACACTATTAGTGTACTACATCGGATATTTATTATTATAATTATTGATATATAATTATAATTATCGGCGGCACTACTGAATAGATAGTGACTATTAGATAGCCGCTTGCTTGATCGAAATCTAATGCTCGAGCTGAGCAAGTACCAGTACTGTACTCTGTGACGTCATGACTAGTAGGTCTCGGACAAGCGGACATAAAGGACCAAATAGGCCGAAAATGTCGAAAAATAATGACTTTTACTGTAATATGGATCTTCTGATCTTGTGCATCTATTTACAATGATTCACTTTTATTCATTTTAAAAGCATTTATGACGTTATAGAAGTGCTTTTGAGCAGAACTGAAATAGTAAAATGAATAGGATTCAATGAAATATTACTTAATTTAGAAAAATAAGTCAATTATAACGAAATGTTTTGGAAAAGTTTTATCCACAACACTATGTATTAGTACTGTACTATTGCCTCAAACTGTGATTAATTGTGGAATATTGTAATTACACTTGCTATGTGCAGTAGTTTTAGATTGCACGTTTTACCGTAAGGAATTATTAAGGACTAGTTGGGTATTGGCCTATGATTCTAGTGCTCTTACTTGTACTTTAATCCATTACATATGACTGTAACTTGTAAGGATTAGTTGGAAAGTTAAAAGACTACAGCAGTCGTTTGTTATTTGTTACACGGTGATACATGAACGACCTCGATTGATACTGCCGTTGGTCGAAAATCTGTTTACAAAAAATGCAAAGTTTTTCATCGGCAATGAATTGAAATTTTATTTATGCAAACCGTACTAAGGTAGTATGAATGGAACTCGTTGAGAGTGTACAGTATAAATAAATAATTTCCCTCATTTTCAAATAAAAATTAAAAATTATTATTATTGGGGATAATTTAATTCGAAATAAACGACACGAGTATACTTGTACAATACAGTAAATCGAACCTGCTGAAGTTATGACAGCGTACAGTACTGTACAGTACTGTAGAGGTTTTTCTTTTCTTTTACAGTACAGTACTGTACAGTACATCGATCAGTTGAAGACTCGGATTCACTCCTCCTTTTGTACCGTACAGTACTGTACAGTCTCTATTGTACAGTACTGGACTGTACTGTCCTGTCCAGTAATTCACTGTGGACTGCGTCTCGTGTCATCCTGGGGACTGAACTCTAGTAACTAATCTCATGGGAGTAATAGCTGTCCTGGTAGTTAACGGCAAATTTGACTCATTCAAAGTTCGAGTTGAAAATTGAGGATAAAAATGAGCTGTTGGTGAGTACAGTGTTTAACAGAAAAATGACTGACACTATTGACAGTTCCCTGGACGATGTGGATAACCCGCGTACGGAGACGCCTGGATTTTGCTTATCCTAGATTAGGGTTGGATGTTATGCTAAACAATGAATGGCCGGCCATTGTTCAATTTGTACGAGTATAGTAGGCCAAAAGAATAATAATAATATTGATGGCTAATGGAGTACATGCTGAACTTTTAAAAACATATCGTCCATTTGAAAATGATTACCGTGGACTGTGAACAAGTGACGGACACTACCGTATACTGTATAGCATTGTTGCCGGACTTGGCGCACCCGGACAGCAACTTACTGACTAGGCTAGACTTTTCAACAGATCTTGTGTCAACCTGTATATAAACAGTCCCTATAATGTACTCTACAGTACAACACAATACTTTAGTCTGGGGACAACACTTTCATTGTTGCGCCATTGCCCATACGGGACTACATTGACACAAGTGTACAAAGCGGAGGATCGATTAATGTCGAAAATTCCATTCTCTTGTAGTTGATTAACTCTATGATGAGTCGATTGGAAGTTTTTTCCCCCTTTGTTGCAGCCAGTGAATGGGGGGCGGCAGCACTGTACTGTACAGTAGAGTCAAGTACTGTAATAAACTAGCAGTCAAACAGTACAGTACAGTACAGTAGGGTACAGTACTATCGACTGTAGGCTGTAGAGTACAGTACTGTATAGGACAGTCCTAGTCTACAGTACTATACACTGTACTGTAGACCAAGACAGTACGGTAGAAAATTGGCTGAAAAAAAAGGAATAACATCCCAAATTAAAAATTATACGACGTATGCGCATATAAAAGGTAAAGGACATTACCGATTGACAGCATTTAGTTGGCAGTGACAGTAGTAAAGCGAGAGACAAATGAGTAGAGAGATACTGTTCAATATGCATCATCCATCACAGTCTGGCGAGTCCATCAGTCAAGCATAACAAGATCGGCTCGAGTTTTCATTGATATCTCCTATACAAATCACTCTATTTGGTTGTCCTATCTTTTGATGATTGGCGAAGGATCATTTTTTAGTCATAATTCATGTCAAGAGAAAATCATAAATCGCATAGTATGTGGCCTAGGATAATTAACATTCTTACCGTAAAAAATCCAAAACCGGAGGAGAAATTAGAATTTAAGGAGTTACTGGAAGAAGACGATTTCAGTGCCACAAAGGTATGTCAACTATTCCTTTTGCCATGTTCAATTGATGCAGTGGACATGGTCGCCTGTTGTTGATTCATCATTGCAATTTTTCTCTCTCTGTCTAGTACAGAGGATGCAGATAGAATTTGATATCAGTCTTTCTTGTTGATAATCAACTTGGATGACCGATTACACCGAGTATTACAGTATCTTCGAACTTTCTCACCATCAATCATTTTTTTAGTCTACGCGTTGAATACAACAGTACTGTCTATGTACGTCCAGTACAGCAGTGGACAGTGTCCATACAGTACGTCGACATGCCTTCAACACTTTACTCACGCTCGTAGTAGACCCCACAGGCAATGAGTGGTGTGGACCAAACTGTGTTGTCATGTAGAAATAAATAATCTTCTTCGCTGCTTTCCACAACTTCCATTAAACTAGTCGAAAAGTAGATTCATATTTTGCTACGCCTCCAAGACTGACAATCTACCAAGCAATATTCATCATTGACAATAGATTATGGGACAGGCATAAAATTTCAACTTCTATTTGTCAAGCACCATTCTGAGGTGTGCCTGTTTATTGTGCTCTATTTGCTTTTCTTTTAGTGACCGTCAGCAACCTTACCTTGACTTCCACTCCGTTTACTGTACTTTATTTTCATTAGTATACAAAAAAAAAGCTTGAAAGTAAAACTTGGATCGTCTTCCTATCCAGGGATGCTTCCTCTTTTAAAGTCGTTGTACATTATGGTATAAAAATAATACAGTACAGTAGATCCCCATGACTATTCCAATGGTGAGGAGAACATTTTTTCTACCACGCACAGATTCTACACCTTTCATTTCGATCTCTATTTTTGCGATCTGGTTGTGTCCTACTCTGACCTGCAGTCAAACAACGACTGTACATAATTCGTTCATTTTCACGGAATATTGCTACAGCTTTTCCCAATGGCTAACATAGTGTTGCTAATGCCAACTTTTCTTCCACACCTACTTCATGTCCAACTTTGGCAGTCGTTGTAGTTTTTGATTGATCGATTTTATGAGAGATGTGTAGGAGTGTGTGCCTTATCAAGTACAGTGGAACGTGTAAGCAGTAAAGGATGCCGTGCTCGTGCAACAAACTCAACTGTTTATTATTGCATGAATTTACTGTTGCCGATGACGTAGAGCATCAATATTCTAGTGGGATTAATTGGTCATACACTTCTGTAGATGTTGGCACTATCCAGACGTATCCTAACGCCGCCGCTATCGGCATAGCACAGTAATGATATTCTCGGCTTGTTTTACAATCGATTCAATTGCAGAAATGAGTTGATTAGGTACAGTATACCGTATAAAGATTACTAATCTTCGTACATGCTGATACTTTTTTCAACCTTTGGCTAGGCTTTTTTGGGATTAATTTTCACTATCGCTTTTACTTCGTTAGTATCTATTTGACTTTGACAGTAGTCTACAGCGTTCTAATGTACTTGATCTATCTAGGTGTATCACGCCGGTAGACGCTTATTTGTTGCTTATACTGGATACTGAATAGTGTACAAAATGATTCTCCATAACAATGATAATAAATTATCCTAAAATCTCTTGTTACGTCGCGTAATTGCTATACATTGACTGCGTCAATCTAGCATTTGTTGGGAGTATTATAATTGAAAGGTCACTTTATACCATGCAATCGAGTGTGTAGCTATTTTCATCATGGATTACTAACAAAGGGAGATGTTTCGAGTAGATTCTGACTTCATACAGTGTTAGATGTTCTCTGCCACTATCATTGTTGAGTATGAGAGGGCGATTTTGCAATTAATTTTATTTTACTACAGTATGCCGTATTTCATAGACGAGATACCGGCCGTTATACGATAATGGTTTGGTATTGATCATGGCTTATAGAAAAGCTGCTGTTAATTAATTAAATATGATTAATATCTTTGATACTGCTGTGTGCGTATCACACATGTACTGTTCTACAAAGATGTCTCGCTCAACTATATGTGCTAGCTTTTAATATTAATATTATTCTAATGAAACTTCTTGAATAAATTACAACTATTTAGGTTGTTTGTCATGGCTTCCCCTATCAACCAACAACTCTAGCTTATGATCCTGTCCAAAGCTTATTAGCGGTTGGAACGAGAACTGGAGCTATTCGATTGTGAGTATGCCGTCCATTTTTTTTTTTATACCGATAAGTCCTCTTCTTTCACAATCAACCTTCATGTATACTTCACTGATAAAATGTTATAATCGCCTCCTTGTTCATATTCGATGTGGCCAAGCTATTGGGCTGTTGAAATGATCGCGACTTCTATAGTACTATACAACAGACTAGTCCATTTCGATGGTTATCATGAATCTACTGTCCAGTGTCCAATTGGCAAGATGAAAGGATTGCTAATTCATGATTCTTAGTTACAATACAAAACAGGCAACAAGGATAGCTTACAAAGTTGAAGCTATACATTACCCACTACTATAGCTAGAATAACATCCAAAACAGTCTATAGACTGGATCGTCATAGGCGTACAAGATATTTCTTACCTTGTTGTTTACTGCATATGTGTACTGTAAATTCGATTTTGAACTAATATAGTAGCCAGTCCTACCTTGAACTGTAGTTAATGTACGATACCTGTAAACGGCAGTTATTTTCTAATTCTACAGTATAGCCAATTATTATTATTTTGTTTGGAGCTATTCTCTGTATTGATTCCAAATGGATCATGTCATACTGACATTGACTGTCCTTGTTTGGGGAATGGTATTCAGTAATACAAATGGGTATTGAAATTTCAGCGCCGTTACTGTATGTTGATGGTAATTATTTGACTCCTTGATGCAACTCAAGCGTTTGAGATGATAGTAGTTCTTTACAGTATATTGCAAAATATAATGCTAGGTAAGTATACACTACTGTGCGATAGATATAGCGTATAATCTGCTCATGGTGGGCCCAGTGCTATTTTCAAGGAACAATTGAATGGTATTTTTTTTTTTGCAATTCATTTCTGTCGGTGATGTGCTTGCCAAGTTAATTTGGGAAATGCATCGCTGTAGATGACTATGAAGATTGCTTTGTTATACGGCATGTATTTGACATGGATTTGGACCTAAAATGAATCATTCTAAGTGAGAAAGATTCATTTTTTTCTGCTGTTCTCCTTTGTATTTACGTTTCTTTGGTTTCTGTTGATGGAGGAGTGAACAATTTATTGTTCGCGTTGACCTTAACGCCATCGTCTATAAATAACATGCGCTGGATTCTCGACTAATGATAATAACATATTATGGTACTCTATCTATCCAGGGAATGCATCTAGTAATCAGTCTACATTCATTTTGGAATGGTATTTCTCTAGTGCCATCTTGACTTATTAGCAATGCATGAATCGGAGTCGAAATAACATTTCAATACTTAGCCATATTTAAAAGCAATTTGTTCAATGCTAGAGTGTGGCATTGTATTGCGGTGTCCATTCACCGTCGGTGTACACATCAGCTGACTCATGTCGGCTTGAAGGCATGGTCCAAAGCGTTGAGCTTCACTCATCGCCGTCAGTCAAAAAACTCATGCGCACAAGAACGATAAGAGATGCAAGCACCATATCGAAAGTACAGTGCAGTACACCGTACAGCTCAGTACTGTACTGTACTGTACTGTACTGTACTGTACATGTACTGTACAGTACTACAGTGTACAGTACTGTTTGTACAGTATGAATCATGGGATTGGACTGTACTGTGGAGTATTGGCAGGTGGGCCAGTGTTGATGAATTACAGAGGATTACTGTTCTGGACAATGGTGACTGTATACTAGACAATATGCTGATTAGCGTAGAGAGGCGGCAGTTTGATGGGATGCGATGGCAACTGTCGAGTGATTGGAAACCTTGACTACGGTATCCAAATGAGTCCATGTTGCCTATCATTTAGCTAATGATAATGATGGTGATCATAAGAGAAGATTGTATTACTATCGTCCACTTTGCAGTATGATTCTATTTGCCACTCTTCGATACGTTACCAAGGATAGAAGAGACAGTGGGTGATACGCGTAATTTGGTACAGGTGAATTAGCTATGCTCAAGATATCCTGTAGTGCAGACATAACATATCGACCAAGTTTCTTCTTTCCTATGTACTATAGACGAGGATAGGCTATACAACTCCGAACGAGATGAAAGGGTGTAACATTGGACTAGAACATAGTCTGAAATCAATCGGATTACCACTGGTACTACGCAATGATAGTAATACACAACATACTGGTAGCCTGGATAAAGTAGCAATACTTGCAAAATCGTTCAGTTATTCTCTGAGAATATAATCTAATTTTGACATTGACAATGCAAATGGCTACGGTTGTGTTTCAAACATAGGACGACCTTTTTGAAAAGTAATCTCATAACTGTACTGTACTATTGTCATTCGTGACGATGATAACTGGAGTAGTTCATTGTCAATTGATCAAGCTAATTTCTCGTACAATCTGGACTGGTTACCTCGGCTACTATTGACAGAATAGATGATGTTGACATGAACACAGTAGAAGATAAGGCGGCAGTTTTTACGTGCTTTCAAGATAACTTTACGTCAATGGTACTTGACATTGAATAGTATTCCAGTTTAGTTTATTGGTGTACATGTCGTGGTATAGACTGTATCGCAAAGTAATGGACGTACTATCGTACATTGATCCCCTTTTTTTGAATTTCCAAAGGTTGTCATCTTGTATACAGTAAATGCTGTACTGTATAGAAACATTTCCCCACTGCTATCGCGTCATATGTTATAAGTGTTTGACCTTAAAGCCGTTAATACCACTAATCAATGGTAGACGAATGAAAGTAGGAATGATGCTTTTGCCAAGATGACAGTGCGTAACATGCTTATTCTGCACGCAATTTGGGTTATTCATTCATAAAAATTCCTACAATTCATACAATTCCCAGATTTGCTTAATAAGGGAAAAGCTAATTCATGATAAGAGTATGCTTGAAAACGAGTAAATTTGACATAGACGTCAATTTTAAATGTATTCATTCCTATAGCTTGATTCAATTTGTAGCTTATACCCTGATCCATGCAGTGACACTTTAACCTTTTGCTTTCTATAATGCGATCAAAGTGTATCGTTTTATCATTCAATTTGTAGATAATTATTCTTCTTTATGCTATATTATAACATTGAACGAGATACTGACTCTTCAAATTTTACTGAAATACCTACAAATAGATTATGCTTTACTTCCTGCATTGCCTTGTGTCTTCATAACTTTTCATGCTCTATAATCTCTTTTTAACAATACAGGTATGGTAAGGTTGGAATTGAGTGCCATCTTCTATATGAGCATGACACAGCAATCAATCAATTACTCTTCATGGTGAATGAGGTATTGCCTTGCTGCTTTAATGGTGTAAAATTTATAACTTTTATTTATCATATATCTCATTGTAGAAATAAAATTTAAAAAAGCTACTTTACAAATTATTCAATAGCCATTATTACCTACTGGCGCTTATAACTTCTTTAAACATTCATTATGTTTATCGAAGCTTACTGTAGAAAATTGAAGTTGCAGTATTAATTGCTAATAATCATTGATTATATTATCCGACATTGCGCAATATTTAACGTAAACTAGATCAATTGTTGTTATTGCATTCTGTTATTTAATGCAACGCAACTGTGGATATTAATCTAGGGAGCTCTAATTAGCGTTTCAAGTGATGTTGTCCATTTATGGAATTTACGTCAACAAAGACCTGCAGTGTTGCACTCTCTAAAGTTTAAAAAAGAAAAGTAAGTTATAAATAGTACTGCATAGAGTATTGATCTTACTTAAGTAATGTAAAGTACAAGTGGTAGTGTGATTTTGAATATACCATTACACTTTTATGTAGTTTGTCTAGATAGATAGAAACAATCGTAAATAACTCATTCTGTAATTTTCGTTGCTTATACAGTTTAACATGTATCACGGTACAAATTGTTCGAGAGTAGTATTAATTAACTACATTATGTATCGATGTTTGCTGTTATAGTTTATTTTTGTCTTGCTGCTAGTGGTGATAAGCGATCAACCATCATTTCTAATCTTCTCGAAAATTGATAATATTTACTTTTAAAGATTTTTTATTTGTTAATGGGATATCACCACGATATCTATGACTGCTAATTGCTTTGATATCGTAGAAAACTATATGAATATTGGATTGTTTGTATTTATTCTAGAGTCACCTATTGCTACGTACCATTAAAATCAAAATGGCTTTATGTTGGCTCCAAAAAGGGTAATACATACATTGTGAACGTTGAAACTTTCGAAATATCAGAATATATTATCTATTGGAATCGAGCCATAACTACGTAAGTATTACTATTCTTAGGCCTTTCTGTAGTCAGTGCAATTTAAACTTGAAAACGCTTAGAAATGATGATTTAGTTTATTATTGAGAGTTATCGAGCTTGAATTTGTAAAATATTTTACTTGGTGGCAGGTCTTGCAGCACTCATCCCGGTAGTGTAAAATACATAGGTGAAAAACCAGATGACAGTAATAAGGTTGGTACTTGTTAATTAGGTCGAATTTTATTCGTTAAACAGTAAAATGTTTTGTTTAGCCTATGTAAATTTTTAGCTTGAGTAGCTCGTTAAAGATTTGTTTTGTTTTAGTTGCTGATTGGATTTGAATTGGGTATGTTGTCGCTGTGGGATTTAAAGAGTCAACAGACCGTTGTCAAAATTCAATGTCAACTCGCACTAATGTCAGTATCATGGAATTTTGACGGAAAGACATTGATGTGTAGCCATCCTGATGGCACTCTTACTACATGGAATATTAACAAGACTAAGAAACCAATTCAAGTTAAAGTTCCTCATGGTATGAAATAGTAAAAGTTTTAAATCGAATAAAATGAATCGATAACACTAAAACTGTAGGTGTACTATTCGGTATTTGGTGATATTTGTGGCAATGCTATTTGTCGTTACAATAAATGATACAGCGGATAATTGATACGATATAAAAATCGAAATATTCTCAGCTTGTCATAATGTATGTACGTAGTGCAGCTTGATAATGACGATTGATGTTATATTCCATCTCCACTTCAGATTAGTCTTTCAATATTTGTTGTATTATTGTTATTTCGTTAAATATTTTGAGTATCAGTGTTAATTTGCAACGTTTTGGTTATCTATCTCTACATATCTTGCAAACAAATGAATGTGAAACCATTTCTTTAAATGCTTGTATTAGTGATTAAAGTACTGTGCAATCTACAATTCAATTTATTGCCATGTTGTAAATTGCATTTTTACAAGATATCTTGTTAGAAAAGGTAAATTTTTTATGCGTCTAGTCTCTCTAGTTTCTTATTCGTACTAAATGATCCATAGCTCTTAACTAAATAGATTGTACTAAGTAGCACATCCTCATCTAAATCAAATATTACGTCCTAGTCGAAATTCTGTAGAGGGTGATAGATGTAGCTACTATACAGTGTGCTTATCATTATGCACATATCCGAATTATATTAATTGCTTTACTGGATAAATTAGCATCGTTATTTATTGGTATTTAATAATGGTAGTTATTAATATGAACTCTTTAGGACATGTTAAAAATTGGTCAAAAACCGATAAATGTCAACCGTGTACCATTGTTAACAAGGTTGCTTGGGTGCAAGGCAAAGGGAGGTAAAATGCTCTCTTCAATTGCATTAATATGTCATCTAAAACTTTTACGGTGCACGATTCATAGTTTCTGTCAAATTTTTTAGCGAGCCATTCATTATGTTTACCGGTGGTGTTGCCACAGATCGACCAAATCGAGATCAGTGCTTTACAATAATGCAAGGAAGAGAAATGACTTTGTTTGAAATGGAAGATGATATTATAGACTTTACGTGTTTATATGGCAGCCCTTGGCCGAATGGTATATATTTTCCAATCAAATTTCTAGGTTATAACTTTCAAAACATTAATCATTTTTGATTGCACGTGATATCTATTTAGACTTTGAAGATCCATTTGCAGTCGCTATTTTACTTGAAAATGGCTTGGCGGTGTACGACTTAACATTACCAAAGTATGGAAGTAGGATAAATATCTTAAAAGGAATAATACAGCAATATGAATTCATTTTACTCGGAAATTCATCCATTAATTTTGGTCGATGTATAGCGTCTGCTTTACTACTTGGAATAGCCTGTTGTATACGTATATAGCTTGATTAGAAATATCCGCATCTGTTACGAATTTGTATCTAATGTCTTAGCTGTGTCATATTTGTAAGATCAGATATGCACCGCTAATTGGCATATTAAGATCTTCATATAATTTTTGTTCGCATTTTGTGCTACAATTAGTTATCCGCCGTATAAAATCCCATATACCATCAATATTCACGAATCAGCAGTTACGTCAACTCAGTTTTATTCTGACTGTCCAGTGGATTTGTTCACGTGCCTTTATTCGCTTGGAAAGAAGCATAAAAAGAGTGGTATTAGCTATTCAGAAACGGTAGAGTGGATGACAATACTTGACTGACATAATCTTTATTATTTTATAAGAGATTATACAATACGAACAGTACCCCTTGATCAAGTAGTAACAATTTATTATTTAGGAATGGCCCTTGAAAGGTGGCACTTGGGGTGAATCTTACAAAGATTCTTCACTTGATTTAGTTATTACGGGGTAATTCAATAAGGATCTAATTTGATTTTTATGAGCGTTATCAGCACTGTACAAGTTACTCATCATTGGACTCTATAACATTAACTTTTAGACATTCTGATGGATCTTTACGATTTTGGGACGCAACAGCTAGTAAGACAATAATCATATTGTGTTTGATAGATTCAACCTAGTACTCAACAATATCAAAACGTTTCAGTTGCATTTCAGTTCATGTTTAAGTTCTCTACAACGAAAATATTTGATCGCGAGAGAGTGAAGGAGAGCAGTGAGATGGACGATGAACCTTATGCAATACAGGATATTATTTTATGTATGAACAGTCGTACACTCGTAGTATCAGGAGCCGCTGGTTATGTAATATTATACAGGTTTAACTTCAAGGAAACAACAGCGGAATTATCGGTAAGTATTTGCACACTTTTTGTTAATACATAGTACTATTTATGACGCGTAAAAATGTACTATAACTTTATACTTCAGAAGAACTTATTTCTATTTTTTATCATTTGAAATGCAGGTTATGGATGTGAGTGTAGCAGATCAAGTCAGTGATACTGGTAACGATTGTCACATGCCTATGAGGGCTGACACCGATACAAGTAATATTTTACACCTGGCTAAGTTGAGATCAGGTCCGATAAAACAGTCTCCTGGTTTTCAAGCAGACTTGATCTGTCGTAATGCTCAACCTGGTAGTGATATGGAAAATCCTGGTAGTAACAGCATTCTTTCCTTATGTTATAGTTCAGGATTTGGCATGTAAGTTACTAATATCACTTTTCTTTAGTAGATATATATAAATCTATTAACTTTTGCCAATCTTTTGCTGCAGAATGGCATTCTCTAATATTAAAGGGTTAATAATTATCGATACAGTTCAAAAGCATTGCGTAATGTCTGTTAGAACTGTTGATGTTTATGGTAAGTGTTTGATTGCTTTTAATTATTCTATGTCTTACTTTTTAACTTATACTTAACTTAATTTTCGTTTTATTATAATAATAATTAGCATTAGCAGATAATTCCCAACTTCCTAAAACTCCTAAACCGGGAAGTTTTCATGTCCGAGATCAAAGTGACCCAGATTCGCCTGTATTTTCTGGTTCATCTCATGTTAAAGCTGGTGAATCTCCGCCTCCTTCAGCCGGCTTATCGAATGGAAGCGCAAGTCCCAGCACTCCAAGGAAAATGAAGTGGTCGTACGGAGGAAAAAGAGGTATGCAATCATGTCCTAGGGTTAGCTTTATATATCCATGTAATTAGGAAACGCTAAAGTCTCACTTTTGGGATGAATATTGCTTTTAGTTAGTGGTAAAAGCCAATCAAATCCATCGATTGAAACAGATAATGAAGATTTAAGCTTAAGATCACGCAGTTCAAGCTTATGTAGTGTTGATAGGGAAGGCAATAATAAGGAAACTGTTCGTTACTTAAATCTGTTGGAAACCTATGCACGCAAAGGAGGTATGATTATTAGTAGCTGATGATAAGCTAATTCTTTATGATAATAATAGTTATTATTATCAGGTGTTGTATTAAGTTGGTGAGTTTTCATAAAAATCTATCATATTATATGTTAGACGCAACTGCTACTGCATCTCTATGGATCGGAACTAGTTCCGGAAGCATTCTTGTTATTATTCTCAACTTACCTCCTACTGGCGTAGAACGAGTGAAACAGCCTGTGATAATCTCCCCTAGTGGTCACTATCTTTTTAAATTGGTTTAAAAATTTTAGATATAGCTGTTGGATTTTAATTGATTTTTATTTTTTAAATAAATAGGTACTGCTCTAAGGGACAAGGGCAAAATTATCTCGATATCAATCTTTGATAGGAATCGACGATCTGTTGAAGCGCCAACTGAGTACTGGGTGGATGAAAAAAGTAACTAAATTTGATTAGAACCTTTACTAGGCGTTGGATCTTTCAATGCTGGCGTTAATAAAGATTTTTAATTCTTGTTCATCTAGAAACCTCAAGAAAGAGTGCAATTGGCAGTCACAACGCTAATGATTTAGACGACGTTCATATAGCTGTAATATGCACAGAGAGTCAAATCAAGGTTACAATTCGTTTTGAGTTAACACTTCTGCGATAATCCTTGAATTCGATTCGATTAATAATTGTATTTATGTTCATATTAACAAATGATGTACCTTATAAATATATATTTTGTAGTGAATTGACATATTAATTGCTTAGTAATTCTGAATGATACAATAAGATTGTATTTACATGTTTTTGTTTCAGATTATGAAATTACCTCAGCAGACAATTATTAGTAAACCTAAGCAACTAGAAGGCGCCAGCTTAGTTAAAACATCGTTGGTATTTGTAAAAGGAAAAAGCAAGTATCTCGTTTTCTGAGCCAAGTCTAATATATGCATCAATCATTACTGCGATTATATCATGTAAACATTTTAACTGCTTTAATATGTGTTATAGAGGAATCTTGCCTCGCTTGTGTGAGCTCTGCAGGCGTGATTTATGTCTATAGTCTCCCAACCTTAAGACTGCTAATGGAAGGGCAGTGTTTTCCCAATACAGACGATAGGTTAGTTGAAACGCTTTTAACATAAAGATATAAAGATTTTTGAATGATAACCATAGTAATTACTTCGTAGATTGATGAAAACATTTTCATGGAACAAAGACGGACAAGTGATTTTTATGTCTTCTCCCTCAGAAATTCAGAAATTAGCTACTATTAGAAACGAATGGTAAACCATTCATAATAAATACTTCTGCTTGCTGTAGTACTTTGTTGTAAAGAAATAATGATGATAATGTACTTTTGGTTAGTTTAAGAACCGGTAGTTACTTAGGAAGTCCATTTGTGGTGAAAGATATGCCTGAAAAACCATCTAAAGGGTTAATTGCTATGTTTCGGCAAGCTAATCCTGAAGTCGACAGAAAAAAGCTATGTTAGTACTTACTATACTCGACTGCAATTAGAATATATTTTTAAGTAGATAAATTTATAATTGCATTTCTATGTATATGTATGACGTGTATATACATATGCAATGCTCTATTTAATTGTCAATATCATCCAATCAGTTGGTACTACAACCGAAAGAGGTAGTCGTGTTGCCAAGAAAGTTACTGATATGGGTAACATAGATACAATCCAGCAGTCCAGTTTTGGTGTTGCAGCTATGATGAGTAAAACAAAAGAGGTTTGATCTTAGTACTGTCAATCACCATTGTATGTCTTTTAGGGTATAAACGTTTTATATTCAAATACTGTATAGGCTGCAATTCAGCGTGGTGAAAAATTAAACGAATTATCCCATAAGGTGGAAATGATGAATAGCAAGGCCATCGATTTCGCAACTAGCGCACAAATGATTCATCACAAATATAAAGAGAAGCATAAATTGTTTTAAGGTGTAATTCGTAGATATTAGAATATCATTACATCTGGCCCAGCCATAATATAATATTCGGTTACATTTAAGTAATTTATTGTTAGATATTGCAGTAATGCTAACTACTGCTGCAATAACTAAATCTTGAACTTTTAACCGACTCTATGGTATTTGATATTTTAATAAGTGTAAACGATTTCGAAGAAGCTGCTTTAATCAATGACCAAACATCATTACTGTTTTACCGTTGTTAGAAACAACTGTATAAAAATTTGGCTATGGTATCGATAACGTTTGATGTATATTAACAAGCTATTCCACAATGTATTATCATGTTTATATGCATAATCTTATTCTGAAAATTATCCTATTGCGAACTATTGTGAATAGAAAAGGAAAGTAGTACTACGAAGTAAGCTATCGAATTTATAGTTTATTTCGGAATCCTTTATAATATAGTACAGTGCTAGGTTAAGGTAGTTTTAGTTAACACGTGTAATGATCGACTTCTCTAACTTTATTGTCAAACCATATTTTTAACACCACAAGATAGATGAATTAGTGCATAATTATGGCATACAGAACAATTTACTGGCTAGTTATTTTGATGCAACATAACTTATGTTATAGTGATATCAGTTTTATGAGATCTACGTACATCTTAGATAATACTTATTTTAGGTTGGAATTGTTAGTTGTAACTTGTAAGCACAGTATAATAGGAAGTATCGTATAATAGTTATATTGAGGTAACTCTTAGTAGTTCACGACACATTGCAGGCTTATTAAAAGGGAAAGTAGAGGATAATTTCTTAGTTTTATTCTACGATATATTTATAATTATAATAGTCTGTATAATGCATAGGGCATTATTCTATTACACAACTTATTCTGTCACTATCATCGGTCATATTTCATTATTTGTTAGATGATTTACAATTATTATTTATTGCTATATTCGTACAAAAATGTTACTAAGAGAATTTCTATTCTATTCATATTAATGTATCGATGATATCTAGTTGCAACGAATCATATTTCAATTCATTATACATATCACATCGTCATTGTTTTGATGTTTACTGGTGATATACGTGCAGTCAAAGTTATTGTCCCTTTCTTGTTTTCGTCTATATGCATTTTTATGCAGATAGTACGATAGCATAATGATGAATACTTCTATGTAATATACGTAGTTTTGAAATTACACTATTAGATACGATTTGCTACCTTTATGTGACATTATGGTATCTGATGATATCTTATGATATTTTATACAACGTATTATATCATTTATTTAATTTGGTTTATCGCATTAGCATATTTGTATAAATGAATTGTAAATTAACAGCATTACCGACTTCTTATATTGATTATAATATCTATAGTAGATGTTATTATGCACCAATAGCGGATAAAATCACATTGTATTACGTACAGTATGGACTACATCGTACATTAATATTTACTATAATAAGCTGCAGCATCACATGTACGATTTATACTCGTAGTCTCATACTTAAATGAGGTGGCTGTGACCTTAGTTGTTAGAGCTATACTGAGTCATGGCTGATTGACGATGTAATGGTTATGATTGTTTACAACAGTATGCTAATATATGTAAAACTCGTACTCGTTACTTTAGCAGTATTGAATAATAAAACTATGCCTTCGCGTGAGGGAGGTAAATCGTCCATTTTATATTACGGTATTTTGATTTGATGGTGTTATATAACATTTATGTACTGTACAGTACAGTATAAATGCCAGCTCATGTGGTATGCAAACGAGTATAGCTAGAAAATTTTTGTTTTCGCTCAACTATGTCTTTCATCTACTGTACTTGTACAACTATACCTACATCCGCTTATAATCAAGAACAAAACATTTATATCGACACTGGCATGACTATGATATAATTTATTATATGGGTGTACATTTAATCTTCTTCCATGTAGCGAAAAAGGCAACCGTGTTCCGAATAGTAAGACGGTGATGCCTTTCCGTCATTAACACATCTAATCTTGAAGACAAACGAAAGCCGATCGATAGTATAGTTTACGTCTATAAATTTTTTATTAATACTTGTATACAGGCCAATAAATTATGAACGAGTCAATAAACGACTGCGTACAAATACATCCCAGTCATAGTCATAAATTACATTCGAAGCACCTTCGATCGATGATATTTCACCAGTTTAATTTATTTTGCTTTGTAGAGTCAACAATTCAGATTGATTTATAATATAAATAAGGCACCGTACACTGTTCTGTACAACTTTTAAAGATTGATTTGGAATATGTACAAAATTTGTCTAATTGTAAATATTGGCTTGCACCCTCGATTCAATGATCGAAAAAAATTACGCTAACTATTGCATCTACAGTACGGTAATATATTGCAGAAAATATACACAGTATACAAATATCAAAAATTGTTATCGCTTAAATTGGTGTTTCGATAATCCCATCGAGTGGTTTCAAGAGAAATGGCCACGATTACTAACATACGTGAAATTCATATATTTTCTAGTGATGTATTCACTTTTGTTTTCGCTAGAAAAATCAAAATTACTCACTTCTTGTATTGCTTGCGCATCAAAATTACGAGTATCGCCTTCTGTATCAAATGTAGGTTTTATTGGAGCTTCTAATTCTCGTATAGTGTCAAAGTCTATTTTTTTAAATAAGCCATGTTCTTTAATTTCAGGTATTGTTAATCGATATTCTTTGTCGCAAATTAGCTTCTGAATTAGTTCTTTGCATTGGTCTGAGGCTTTCTTCGGCGGAAATTCCAAAGTTTGACGCCAATTTCTTATCTGTATATATGTAGCATATGCATAAAAAAGCAATATCATAAGATTTACGATATCAACATTTTATATAGTACATCGTTTCTAATTATTGATGACATTAGCTAACAGACATGATTGAGCAGCAATTGCCTTTTAATTAATTTAACACAGGTGCACTATTATAGGCTTACATTTGCTGGCACTTCTTCTACATTTTTGCTATAAAATGGCGGTTTACCATAAACCATTTCGTATAATATTACACCGATACTCCAAATGTCACAAGCACGGGAGATTTCTTGTGCTTGTAAAACTTCGGGAGCAATGTAATTTGGCGTACCTACAACACTATGATAGCGGTGATAGGATTTTTTGCCTTGATTTTGGGCATTAAAATTGCGACCCTGCGGGCTATCGTCGTTACCAAGATATTTGTAACTTGATGCCAATCCAAAATCAGCGACTTTGATATGACCACGACCGTCGATCAGTACGTTGTCAGGTTTAATATCACGATGTACAAAACCACAGCTATGAATCCATTCCACAGCATTTACTAATTCGGCAATATAAAATATGGCCGTCTCTTCTTTGAACACTCCTTCCTTAATAAGTAAATTGAGTAAATCTCCACCTACCATATACTCCATAATGAAGAATAAATTTTTGGAATCTTGGAAGCAACATTCCATTTTCACAATCCACGGTTGACAATCTTCAGCAGCAATCATAATATCACGCTCGATACGAATTCGTTGTAATTCCTTTTCGTTGATAACGTTGTCTTTCTTGATCGCTTTCATAGCAAAGTGTTTTTTATTGCTTTTATGCTGAACTAAATAGACTTGGCCATAAGCACCGCAACCAAGACCAGAAATTACTATAAAATTATCCATGGTAACTTTAGATCGTTTGCCTCGCAGTAGGTTGGTTTCATGTTGCAATAATGCTTTTCGGAACTGTGATTTGTCTTTTTCTGCAAGAGTACTTTTTTCCAATTCTTCTTCAAGTTTTTGTTGTCTCTTTTCACGTTCATCTTTGTACATAAGGGTTTTACGATACATTGTCTCTAAGTATTTTTTGGTTACATCTGGAGGGAAGTTAAATCTTCCTCTTAATTTCTTAGCGTGTGCTGGTGATTGCGGCACCAATGTACGAGTACTATCATCATTCGGTGGCATTTGGCTAACTTCACAACCATTCATCATTTGTTCATAGACATCGTTGAAAGTCTGCACAGAATCGTGTAAATAACAATTCGTTAACCTTTATGGACGAATACAGTGATTACAGTACAACAAGTTGGAACAGATAAACTGTACGTTACAGACAGCTAGTATAATTTTTTAAAGGATCCTTTATGCCCCCTAAATTTCGATAGAGTTACAATGTTATATAACGAAATTGGAGATGCTTAGTCCTATTTGGCTGCACTGAAAGACGATGCTGATGAAGCAAAATGGAGGTATCATAAAGTTGTAATGTTGTCATCAATGACTCGGTGGCTCTGAGCAGATCGTAAATTTGAAGGTAAACTATTCTATTCTATGTTCTCACCGTCATTGCATCTTCATGCCGATATACAGTTGTATCGCTTGCTGTCGATATTTCGTCAAAAGCCGGGTTTCTCATGCCTAATATAGTATAACGAAATATGAATTATACGCGTCAATATCATAATTTGAATATCAACGTTTCGTCAGCCGGCCTAGAGTGGCTGATTTCGCATTATTCAAAAATTTAAGTAATAACACTATCAGTTATCAGTATCGCTGGCTAAAGTTGTAAATACTTGAAACTCTTTTTCGTTCATAAAGTTATCATAAAAAAGTCTACAATTACAAAAAATTTTATTCTACAAGGTACATACAGTATAAGCCAAACCTGTACAAACGAAGTTAAAATAGTATAGCACGAACATAAGACAATCTATTGCATTCCGCACCTTCCATAGCTGTGATTTGCAAATCTTCTTGGTATGGTCCGGTCATGTAGTTATCGCCTGGCGGTGGCATTCCATAATAAGCGTAATTTTCATTACCGGACAGCTCTTGCTGAGGAATTCTATTTTCTATTTGTATATATATATCCAAAGTGAAAGAAGTTGAGAATTTTGGACATGGTGTCAGAACTCATAAGAAGCACAAAAACACAATCTACTATGTTATTAATGCACGAAAATGAACATACGATTGAGATTATGACCCCTCAGCATTGCAACATTGCCGTGCATAGTGCTAACTAATGGACGGTTATCAAACTGCGTTGGGAACGTCGTTGTATCTGAAACATAGAGTCATCATTGATTGCATTACTTATTTATTGGAATAGTTATGAAATAAAAGCTCTTGTATCATCCATTTGACATTTTTCCTAAGCAAATTAATGTATATCTTTTCGATCAATGGTAGTCTAACACTGTATATAGATACAATAATTTCGTGGTACAGTGCACTATTGGTATGTGTATAACTACTGTACATCAGCTAACAGTTTTTTTTGGTTTGTAACTTTTATTGATTGTAATCTAGTGATACATGAGCTCTAAAGGATACCTAGATGAGATGGCGGTGGCCTTCCGTTATTATCGTAGTCGAAGATAGCACTACTGTCATAGAATTGATTGTAGCCAGCTGAAAAAAGAGAATACAGTATATGTTATTAAGGTAAGAAACACTTGAGTAATGTCTCAGCAAGTAGTTTCAAATACAAGCAAATTGATCTTAAGGTCAACAATGCTTCAACATATCCGTTAGTACCAAGCAAAGTAATTACAGCTAAATATCATTCGATGAAAGCTTAGCTTCTTCTGGTGGTCTTTGCATCGTAAAGTATGGCAATGATGAATCTAATATCTTGTCATAACTCACCTTCATACATGTCGGTATAAGCACTGGTATTGTCTAAATTTAAATTGTTCATGCTATAATTGATATCTCCAGCATTGACCTACAAGTAAAAATAAACAGTTATCCAATAAGACTGGGAAGGGATTGAAAGTGTATTCTTCGCACATTATCCGAGCGGGCATGTAGTCTGTCGTCAAATTACTGTACACGTAGAATTATTGTGGGCAGTCTTGAATTGCTGTTTTATCAATTTCATCATCAATCAAGGTAATACTGTAAGCGATTTAGCCTGTTTTGATAGTGTAACAGCTCAAATTAAAGCACCTTTCGTCAGGTATCCAGTATTGCATAGACTATTTGGCAAAGACGGTGTTTATTCAATACTACCGTCTTGGCAAATGTCGATAATACAGGCGTTGGTAGAATCATCTTTGATTTCTTGTCGTCATCATTTTTATTTGATTCAAGATGTTCATTGAACACTACCTTAGCTAGGGTATTGTCATGATTTCCTAGTTACTGGATGCATCTACCTCCTGTCCGGGCTATTGCCTATACACGAGCTACAGAGCTCATTGGAATACCCTTTTCGCTAGTGTATTCTAATGATTTAGTTTATTATTCGATGATGCATCTACTAAGTCAATTTCGTTGTCGTGACTGCATCATTTGCATTTTACAGTTTATCCCTTTATGTTATTCATGTCCATTTCTTCTTGCTAATAATTGTAACGCATTGATTTGATGCATCTGTAGTACTTATGTTGATGGGATCCATCATTACAGATATTGAAGGACTACATGCTGAATAAGAAGAATGTTTTCAAGGCAATTTCCTACTTACCGAGTCACGGAAAAGTGAGCCATCTTCGCTGTTGGCCAGGTAAGATTGGCGTACATAGTCGAAAAAGAAGACATTATTATCAATTAAATTGCAATTCATTTTCCACATCGATTAGTCAAGCAAAGAGACCAGTCGTGGGGCAAGAAGGAAATTCTATTCTACAGTAGACAGCCGTTGAAATTACTATCCTGCAATTTCTCTTTTGTGAATGACATTGGAGTGGTAATTTTTTGCACCGTTTATAGCATCAGAAGTAGTCATGCAATTTGTGTATGGTACCATAATCTATACGTAGGATGATTAGCGTTGCAAATACATCCATCTCCTCTTTTATCAAGGGAATTTTTTCTACATTCTTTGCCATAACTATGCACAACCATAGCGCAGTCATGATGGCAGACTAGACGCTCTCTTGATTAGGTGTCAATATGTCATCAAGTGCGTCGCGGTATTTGAAAAATTTCCTTGTAGGCCGATGTATCTATCCTATCTATCAGAGTCTATGTTATCAATTGGTGGCGTTGTTGATTAAGTTAAATTGGTCAAGTGTAAAGAGACATTCTGGATCATTGCCAGCCAAGCAAGCAAGAGCAATGTTGATATCGCACTTGACTATGTGCTTTAACCTTGATCTTCATGAATCAGCAAGTGCGATACTATGGATGATCAACAACAGCCAGTAAAACAAGTTAGAGCAAGTTGGAGAAACATGCCACATATGGCAGATAGCAATCGGTGAAGTCCTGGATACCGATAGCAGCGATAATTATCGCTGCTATCGATTTGCTCTAATTCTACAATTTGTACTAAACAAATTGTAAAAAGACGCAAATGGAGATAACTCCAAGGATGGAGATGAAGGAAAAATTTTGTTTTTCAAGGCTAACAAAGACATCGCTCCTACTGCATCGATGCATCATCATGGAGCAAAAATCATGTTTAAAGACTGGACATGGATAATTTACTCAACGATATAATGCATTAACAAAGTCGCAGTATGATGAGCATAGGATTAGTCGTCCATTTTTATACTAGTTGCAAAACTACAAAATGATGATGTACCGTAGCTGGTGTCGGCATGAATTACCAAGTGGAAATTCCACCATCTAATCATGATACAGTATATGATAATTTTACAGAATTCGCAGTGATAACCCAATACTCCACTAACCTGATATCCGAGTATAAAGCCATTGCAGATAAGAACTGGTCCTCTAACATTTTTTTGATGCGTAAACGTTCCGAATCAGGTTGGCGTTGATGGCCAACCAAGTGCTGATTCGTAGAATTGTAATATCTAGTTTGAGGTTGTGGTCTTCGATGATAAAAATGATTGGGATTGACATGTTGAGGTTGGGAAAGTCTTTGCCATTCGGGATTGCCATTTACGTAATGTCGTTGTCTCGAAAAATCTCGATCCAAACCTTGACGATAGTGAAATGATCGCAGTTTCGTTCTGACTGCAACTGCTGTTTTATAATCATTTTGACGACGGAGTCTTTCACTGTACGAACTGACAATATTATTGATGATCGGCATATCTCATTCGCTGAAAAAAAGAGAAATCACAAGGATGGATTTAATTCCATGACAACACATCCAATTGAATAGTTATAACGATTACTCTTACACATTATACTACTGTACAATAATCAAAATCCACTTGGCTTTCATAGGGAATCGCCTTCAATCGAGTAGGATCAGAATTTGAGTTTGTTTGCATGTAGCAAAGCGGCAGTGTTGAAGTGGTCATACAAGCAAGAGCAGAATATTCAAGGGGCCCATCCTACTATTAATGTTAATTTAGCTCCACTCTCCAGCTGACTTTAGTACCCGTAGACTACGAAGGGAAAGAAAGAGTTACTTTTACCTTTAAGCCACCCAAAAAGCTTACTAAGGTAATCGAGTTGGATTGCTATGCTCGATACAACTATGGATCGCTTTTATTGACGATCGTGAAGAATGTCCGCTTCAAGTCGTCAGCAAGAGTTATCCAAACCGACTGTACGATTTAATTTAAAAAGTAAACAGCATGAAAAAGAAAGACGGATGAAGAGTAGATTTCAATGGCGACAGCTTGGCCACTTACTTTGGTGGTTATCTTAATGGGAGAAACAGTTTCTACTGCTGTTTATTGAAGTTGATGACATAAGACTAGTAGACATTTTTAACTTCATCATGGCACACAGTGGACTAAACTTTTCAAAAAGTCAACATCACTGCAAGGGGTCTTTCTTGCAATAGTATTGATCAATACCATGAGTAATCATGACGATTGATATTGCCATATTGAAAATCTTGTCTTTCGGCACAGATAGACGACACACTGTGGTCGAACGATGTTATACTGTACACTATACGAAAATCGAGCAATAGTGCAGTATCATCATTCTTGGGGAGAATTCGCTTGCTGTCAAAAAATCAATCAATCAAGCGACAACAAAATGCTGTTTATACTACAAGTGTTGCAAGCAATCCATTTTCAATCATTTCATATTTGACATTACTATTTGCGCATTTAGATAGGTAAGACGAATGGGCTGTATCCTGTTTTATAAATGATGATTCTTGATAACTTTTCACGGGCATCTTAGTATGGTATAAAGGCATTTTAAATAGGCTACTTTTACTGTACTGTATATCCAATCATCATCATTTTTATCAAGTAATGTACAAAGAGAATACAAATATTGTAAGCCATGGAAGATCGCGCAGTCTTGCTTGTATTAGCTCATCACGAATAATGAATGATATTACCAATTTACTGGTATGTACAGTAATATGGTTGGGTCTAGTGGGCAGTGATGACAATTTTGGAGCATCATTTTACTATATCTTAACATAGAATTAAAGAGGGATCTATATGTTATCACGTCGACGTCGATCATGGAGGTAACTCAATGTTCTTTTACCTCCATGATGTAGAACGAACAATCATCCAAGTCAGTAATAACTATATTTGAAAAAAAAATGATACTATTACAACTCCTTGAAGGTCGCACAATGTTTCTTGTTTTAGTGCATTACTAGTATCAGCAGTATGAGCAATAGCAATAATAATTTGAAGGATCATGTTGCTCTCATGAGCATAAAATTGGAAATTCTTCTACTGTATGTGATGGGGATCTCCATCCAAGAAAGATAATGTAGGACAATTATCATCATCATCAAGTAATAATAAAAAATGAGTACAATCCATTCAAGGTCGCACAATCTTTGTTGTACTAGTCCATCACTAATATCAACCATGATGACTGTTTTTTTAAGGATCATCTTGCTACAATTTAAAATTCTCCTTCTTCTGTGTAAAGATGATGTACATTGTACACTAAATGTCCAGTAGATGATTTCTTGCCTACGTCTACAGTCTTCAACTGGAAAAGATTTTGATATAGCAGTCTACCTTCTCTACAATTATTTCAATGTGAATTTATTCAGGTACTGTGGTCAACCATCCTCCTACAAGATGGTTGTTAAGCATTAAAGATTGCCGTAGAATGCTCAATTTACCCTCCTTTAACGCCTATTCCGATAGGGTTATTCTCGATAGCAGCAATGACGGATTCTTCTCCACTTGTCGGATCTGGCGTAGCCAAAAGCTTTCCTTCTCTCTCTCTCTCCTGAATAATCTGAACAACTAACGCTAAGACGACAAACGTTGCAGCACCACCAGCACTGATCTCCAGTACTGCACAGTGTTGATCATCGACTACACGATTAAATGGAAGCAATCGACTGGCGATGATGGAAAGCAGATGGAATTATTGAGGGATGCAATTTTTTTCTTGTCTTGATGGCTGAAATTCCTACCATAACATTGGCCAGGAAGGTTTTGCCCTTGCAGTCCTTGACTCCTTCTTTCTGAGGGCATCGTACCGTACCGGATCGATACGGTATCGTACGATACGGTATCGTACGATACGGTATCATACGGCACGGTACGGTACAGCGCGGTACGGTACAGCGCGGTACGGTACAGCACGGTACGGTACCGTATGTTGGCCAGGGCCCGAAGTCGCATCCAGACAAAATCCAGCGATTCACAATATGTATCATTAGCAAGGCAAAAATAACTCTAGTCATCCAGACAAAATCCAGCGATTTATAATATGTATAATTAGCAATGCAAAGTAACTCTAGTCATGCATAATTAGCAAGGCAAGATAGCTCTATTCATCCAGACAAAATCCAGCGATTCATAATATGTACAGTATAATTAGCAAGGCAAAATCATTCTAGTCATGCATAATTAGCTAGGCAAAATAACTCTAGTCATCCAGATAAAATCCAGCGATTCATAATATGTACAGTATAATTAGCAAGGCAAAGTCACTCTAGTCATGCATAATTAGCTAGGCAAAATAACTCTAGTCATCCAGATAAAATTCAGCGATTCATAATATGTACAGTATAATTAGCAAGGCAAAGTCACTCTAGTCATGCATAATTAGCTAGGCAAAGTAACTCTAGTCATGCATAATTAGCTAGGCAAAATAACTCGAGTCATCCAGACAAAATCCAGCGATTCATAATATGCATAATTAGCAAGGCAAAATAACTCTAGTAATCCATTGATCAAACACTTGGAATGTCTGTTCTATTGATTGTTGACATACCGTGTACAATACTTCGAAGTGGGTTGACAAATCCATGTAGTCATCGATGGCGTTGCTACACAACAGCAGTGAGTAATTATTGGAATACTGTGTCCAGTACGGGCGTACTGGATTGGACAAGAGGAAATATTGATTCTGTACACTATACTTTAAGCAATCAAAGACAGTATTACGTAACCATCCCCCCTAAAAATAAAGTAATAATTATCATGGGCAAAGAAACAAGGACAACCTGGAAAGAGGTAACAATCCATTAGCTTGTCCAGTTTCTTCATTTCCCCCCGACTCTTTCTCCTCCTTCAATAAATCATTATCAATGGCTGAGGTGATTTCGGCTAAAATACAGGATGTGATTACCAGCAAACTAAGACAGTATTACGTAAGCGTCAAAAAAATAATGAATGATCATGGACAAAGAAACAAGGACAATATGGAAAGCGGTAGCAATCCACTAGCTTGTCCAGCTTTTTGATTTCCCCGACTCTTTCTCCTCCTTCAGTATATCAATATCAATTGCTGAGGTAATTTTGGCTAAAATACAAGACAATCATCATCAACTGTTGCCGCCTTTGTGGCGGCTACATAAAGAGCAAAAAGATCAACTTTGCCACTGCATGATGAGACATCTAAAGTTTGGACTCCGCTTTGATCAGTGCTGTCCTGCTGCATACAGCATTTCTACTCTAGTGGATCAACGACGTTTTGGCCACAGTAGACTTTCATATCGTAAAATTTTCTTTCCCTTAGTTGCTGAATCAATTTGTAATCTACGTCCTCATATGATTCTTCCCACAATATAAATCGAAATGATAATTGCTTTGTATCAGACAAAGACGATATTGTTCTGCTATGCAATATCGATTGAGCATTGATCTATACCCGCATCAAGGTTGAAACGACTCTGATCAAGAGTTCTGCTGTCTCTGATTCATGCATACGCGTATATCATGAGGTATCAACACCAATAAAATTGGATAAACGCACCAATTAAATTGGATAAGCTACTACACTATTGATTATTTTATCCATTCGTTTGAGGGAAGAGACAAGACTCCACCTTACCTCGATGACCATATATATACAAAGAGGATGAAATTACAAGGTGGACAGGACTACAGTACAGCACCAGTAGGAACTACTCAACATTCCTACATCAAAATAAACTCATTCGCCTAATCTAAAATGATCTGAAATACGGATTGGGAGAGTGTGGGTTGTAGTTTGTGGATCATCCATGAACGACGGTCAAGTTTTCTCTTGCAATTTAGTCTAGTCACAACTACGTACTGTATGCCATCGACTACTACTATATCGTAATGACAGTGGGATTGCTCTTCTTGTAAAACCCTAATGATAGTAAACTTATTCTACAGTCAGGTCAGGGACTTCGAACAAGGATTTTCCCTTTTAATTCATGAATTAACTTAGAACTCCCTGATCAAGTACTGCAAATTGATTGAAAAAAATGACGTCATTGACTGAGCGAATTTCATACTACTCTATTACCTACAGTAGCTTTGTTGGCAGCTCCAGGTGATCTTTAAAAGTACAGTATTTCAAATAGTTTAATTCATCTCTTACTCTTTGCAACATCAGAGTCTTTCATCGTATCGATAAGCAATGTCTTTCTTCATCCAACATCAGGCAGAAACTGGCCCTAACTCCGCCAGTTATTCCTTTTCCTACGTATGACGACAAACTCGCATAAACTCGAAAGTAATGTCCTTCAGACACCAAACATAACCATTTCTATATCAGTAATGTGACCATAAAGTAGCGCTAAATTTATCATAGTAAGGCTTATAAGAAGAATTTTGCTAATGATGATATGGTTAGTAATTAAATACTACAGTTAGGGTATTTTAAGCTATGGAAAAATGGCAAAAATAATTTCATCACCATTTTGGAAATGACATTTAGCCAGATTTTACCATGTTCCATGCAAACTTCCATACACTGTTGTTGATCACATCGACCTGTTTGATACGTTATCCTCGCATATTAGACTTGGCTTCCTTTTGCTTGCTCAAATACGGACTGACAGAATTCCTACAGTACTGAATGGACCCTACTACAGTACAAAGTATTGTAACCCATACCTATACACTGTACCCATACATCGGCCTGGAGCTGCCATGGCAATCACACCCAGGCGGACTATCCTTAATCCATAAAGGTTAAGGCTCTTCCTGCAGCCCTTTACAACGTTGCATTTCTCAAATCATGAACAATCTCCCGGTCTACTGACTCAATGAACATGGTGGTATCAACAGCAGACGTGTGCTACTTGATATTAGGTAAGTTGATGTAATAGTATAGGTTACTATTGACCAGAAATTATTATCTGATCGTGGCCAATTTGTCAAACCTTCTTGCTGGTCTATTTTTGTAAATATTGGAGGTGCTGTCATCGTTGTTCAACTTGATTGCCATACGAGTGCACAAATAGGCTGTAACTAGGGACTTCTAAGAGAGCTTCCTCTTAAAAGTGCCTGGACTGGTCTTGCAATGCTCATCGGATAGGTTATAACACGTCGATGATTATTCTATGTGATGGATTTGTTTATGGCAATCATTTCTTTCGAACAGGAGGTTATCAATATTATCCTGCTATGCAATGTTGTACTGTAGGATACAACGTTTTGATACAACATCATGCCATGGCAAGACTCCACTGCAACTCAAGTACATAGGAACGATTGTAGTTTTTGCAATCAACTCTTTAATATCCCTCATTTTTTTAATCATACTGTACTACAATGCTCGACCTAATGGATTGCGGTCAATAACTAGTCAGGATAGAATTTACTAAAATGAACGATATACCGTAGGCAAACCTGCAATCAGTAACAATTTGAGCATAGCTAAACTGATACATATAATTGACGTTCTTTTCCAACAGTAAACGGAAGTCATTGCGATTGTTATTATTTGTAGCAGATAAAGACCAATTGATGTGGAATGAAAATGACAGTATGGACTGGCATGATCAACGCAGTTGTTTATAATTCTTAAACTCTTATCTTCTCAGTCCATTTTACAGAGTCAATATAAATTGTAGACTACAACTGAAGACAACAATCTTATTTTCAGTCATGTAGTGGCGTTATCGTCCAAAGAAAATTGCTTTAATAAACACTTTATAAAGATAACTACCAATTTTACACCTTGATAATACTGTCAACTAGCCTACCTTGAAATAACTATACTTTTCATTTTGTAGATTATTTACAATTCAATGGGTGGCAAAAGAGTTTCGAAATCTTCTACCAGGAATGTCCACACTTTAGGAATGAAACTCAACAACAGGTTGGCAAGATCGTATAAGATAGGAGTAGAATAGAAAAGAGCTGACTTCTGCTTCAAGTACTCTACTGTCGTCAGCCACTACAGTACGCCTACAAGACGTCCAATCTTTATTAATAAAGACAGTATTATTAGCTGTCGCTTTCAATATCTCGAGAATTAATAATTAGTAAGAGCTTCAACATTATGCTTACATACATTATTTTATAGCTAAATATGTCCATTTCATTCGTAACAATCTAATGATCTGTTATGTTTTTTCCATTATGTCTAATGAAATCTTATAAATATATCTAAAAAATGACAGGATTTATTCGATCGGAGGAATTTACAAGACATTGTACAGGGATTCGCTGACGTTTTAATCCAAGGTAAGATAGTCTTATAATGTACTACCCTATTGTATAATAAGATACATTTATTGACAAGTACTCTCAATGGATTGGGATCATACGTACAGGATATGGTCTTCAAGGCAATTTTCCTATTTCGTTTACCATTAACTTATAATTACAGGTTGTTCTTTGGAATGTATGAAACTTTCCTTGAGCAGATGTAGATTCTTAAAAATTCTATAATACAGAAACGCCGCAATACTAGTGATATGATTTACGTTTAATTTGATAATGTCTAAACAATGAGCTGTAATAGCATAGTCGGTTATCATTTTATCATCGATACTTTAGAACAGCCGATGCCTCCATTCAGAATAGGTACCTTTATATCTATATTGCGCAGGCATTTATCATATATCAACATGAAGTAAAATACAGTATTAACGATTCTCCTATTAAATGAAGTATAGCCATGTTATGCTATTTAGAATGTAATAGCCTAATTTTTATAATGATGTTATCCATTTTTTTATCCAAATCTTAGGCAATACAGCCAGACAACCGCAAAGTAACGCTGTCGTACTCGACAGCCTTTGGAAAAAATTTGACGATATTGTCAGTCAAATAAAGTTAGTTTTAATAGATCAATATAAACGTTTCAAATTGCATGCAGTAAAATTCCTGAAATAAATTTAAGACTGTTCAAACTTGTCTAAACATTGCTTCTTTAATAATTCAACGAGAGATCCTATTAAACAATAAGGAGCTATTACCAACTGCTACAATTTCTCCATTAATAGACATACATCGCGAAAGTCCTTCATCAAATCTGTAGAACATCCGACTTCTTCTCAACGAGGTAAATCTTAGCTTTCTCTTACTACGCAATTAAATGTATAAATTTGATTATTACGGAATCCAGTAAGAATTATTCACTTAATTCTTTCGTTACCCCTATAACTGTAAAAAATTTGACATAGTCATAAACGAATAATTGTGAAATAATTATGTAACAAACTAAATATTTATACTTTTACGTTACGTATACGTGAATTGAACGGCTATAGATTACTATAATACGATGACTACAATTGACTTCACGAAAGCATTCCTTTTTTTCTGCAAATAATGCTAGTTCGTACCAGGCAAGGACTAAATAAGCGGCGCATTGTACCACTAAAAATATCAACTGCAATGAATGACAGCCCTAACAGTGATAGTGGCGGTTCTACTGCTATTCCACTAGCTAAGAGAACTCTATATTCATTAGATTCTACATCGCCTATTAAGACATTAGTCAATGTTGCTAGTGATATGTACAATGAAGCTTATCAACATAGCGAAGAAACTTCAGAATTGATCCGTAGCGGCTATGGATCACCAAAGCGAAAGAAGTAGGTCAAAATGTACACTCTATGGACAAGCCAAGTTTATCTGTAAATCGCTATAGAAATTATTAATCATAACCAGTTTACCTTATTTCGATTTCTTAATTTAAAAATTGAAAGGTTTATGCCCCGCAAAAGACATACAATAGAACGAATTCCGGACAGGAATGAGTAAGTTGAAGAATTTAATCAGTCTCAGTGTATTTCCGTCTCGATATTACTACTAAATAGTGTAACTTTGTGCGATCTACGAGATATCTTGTTACCTATTTTATATGACTGAAGAGACCAATTATATTTAATCAACCACAAATAGTAATGCTAGCATATTGGTTTAACTTATAAAATTGTGATTATTTTCTAGGCAAGTGGTTGCAGATTCTGAGATGCCACAACATATTATAGAAACTCTACTCGAAAATACTGAATTACAACAAAGATTAGCTAGTAATATCAACAAAGTAGTATATAGGTAATAATAATATGCTACATGATTTTACTGTTTAAAGTAGTTGCATTTCAATGCATGCATGAAAATTATAATAAAGATTTTTGTGTATTAGCTCTAAAGATGATCCTGCCATCATAAGTGAAGCCCCTTTAGAAAAAGATAATGTTACGACAGATATTGCAGGTACGTCGGAAAACAATAACGACATTATTTCAAGTCTGCCGTCGAATGCTTCCGTAGAAAATGAGGTATTTAACTATTGATTTAATATCAATCTGATTTTCCAGTCCCTATAAATTAATCATTACAGTTTATTTAATTACTTTACATGTCAGGTTAAAGATTATAACTTATCAAGTGATGCTGTAAGCAATATCGTTGAATTGACTGAATCCGATCCAGCATTTGATCAATTGCTGGCTATACTCGGTTAGTATGAAAAACATTATTTTTCTACACATGTCAGTAAAAAGCATTACGGATTACGTAATAATATTTATAAATCATTGAAATAAGGAGGTATCGTCTATGATTCATTATGATTTCGTAGATACTGTTCAAGTTACTTTAACTCCAGACGTCAAATCTACTAATGAATCGTGTCAAACAGTATCACTACAAGGTTTGAGACATCCACCCAAACTAACCTTGCGTCATAAAACACTTATGACTTACCTTAACTTTGCTACTATGTGATTTTATTGCGGATGTATGAATCTATGTAAAATTTTAAGCGCTTTGATAATAAATGACTAGCTAAATTTTAATTGCCCATAACTAATTTTAGGTGAAGATCATCTGCAAACCGAAGGTGCCTCGAACGATGATATGCTGATGTCTATAAAAAGAAAATTATCTGACAATCACGTTCGAAAATTGTCTTTTGATGTAAATAATAAAAAATCACCACATGATAAGATGGAACATTTAAATCGAAACGAAAATAATAATATCAACGATGAAGAAAATATGACTGCGATGGAAGAACAAACTGCAACTAATGAGCTACATGTTATCGGCGATAAATTTTCCGAATCAGATGATTTGAGTGAACACCACGAAGAAAAGGAATCTCCTCCTGTGGTAATAAGAGTTTTAAATTCATGTTATGTAGCATATCAATTATGTCAGCTTGCTTTTTCAGATAAGCAAATCGTACTTGACGGTCGATTTGATTTTCAGTGCTGTATTTTACTTGTAGAGATCGGATCAAAACGTAACTGCCGACGGCAGCAACATGAAAATTTTTCCTACTGGACTAGATGTTGAAAATTTTCTCTCCAAATTACAGTATACAGAATAATTCTAAATACATAGTATGATTACATAAAAATGAAGTAATATATTTGAGTGCTATATATTCTTGAACTGGTTCTTATTATACTTGGATGCATTAATGGATTATATAGTTCCCAGGCAGTGCTTAACTGTAAACTTGGACGTTACTGATGATTTATTCATGATTAATTGTTAACATCTATGGTCCCTTAAGCTGTGTGTAGAACACTACTGTTAATGAAGTACACTTCGTTTACATTTTTATCGATATGCAAATAGCTTTTCTAACGTAATTTGATATTTATTCGAAATAGATACTCGCATACAAGATAATATACGCGCATTGGTAATATTTTCATGTAAATAGACATTTCGATACTATCGTCACATTTTATTAAAGTATTTATGTTATGTAAAATAACCTTGCCTTCGTAAAATTGACTTTTTCTTGCTATATAGTCCAATCAAGTAAAATAAATATTAAAATACGATCAGACTAGTTTTACAACATCTGAAATTGAGCAATTTAAATGATCACTAATACGTAATTATAAATGCTAAGACATCGCTAACTTCCAATGAAGACGATTCTACTTTATACAGGATTGAATAATATGTTAAAGCTAAATACTTACGATAGTATTTTAAAATTAAAAGTCATTCATGATAGAATATTATCGTCCACAATTGTAAATAAATTTTTCTTAACCTATTAGTTTAATGACTGTCAATTCGGATTTAAACGGAATTCAAAATGTAATATAATTCGATATCTTCTAATCAATTAAATTATTCGTGTTTAGAAGCTTTTATCGGTTTCATGTAGAATACAATAAATATAGCTGCTGCAACATTAAAAAGAACTGCAACTATACCTGGTAAAAATACATTTATAATTTGTAGAAATCCAACAATACTAGGTGACAGCATCCGTCCTAAAGATAGCGTTGATTGCCCAACTCCAATAAGTGCACCATGTTCCTTACCCTTTCCACTGCTAACTAAAATACTAGTAAAATGAACGCGCGCCAAGTTTGATGAAATGGATAAAGGCAGTAGGCAAAGGCAAAAAACCCATAAACTATCTGAAAAGGTACATCCGAGGATTGCCAAACCGACTACAAGATCGCAATGTAATACCGCTTTCACACTGTCACCTTTGTATAAGGCAGATATCTTGCCAACAACAAATCCACTCATTCCGCCTATCACCCCGTTATAGGATAGTACGTAACCAATTGTTTTAGCATTGGCATGATATCGATCTTCTAAGAAAATGGAGAAACTACCACGAAAAAACATAACCGACATTGCCATTAGAAATCGAATGGTTAATATACCATAGACTTTACCCCATGGAAGTTTCCAAAGATTATGAAAAATTGCAAGTAAGCCTTGTTGCTCATCTTGTTCATCGTCTTGTAGTAACAATTCATCTTTTCCATTTTGGTCAATATTAAGCGTTTCGTCATGGTGAGATTCTTGAGTAGAAAAAAACATATATACAAGCAAACTATTGGCAAAAAAAATACTCGACGAAAGTAATGAAACTTTTAAAAAGCCATTGTCAGTCATAGCTAAGTGGCCTCCACACAAGGGACCAACGATAAAGCCGGCATTAGCGATAGCGTTAAATTTTCCAAATATACCAGGTTGTTCTTTAGGATCGTAGATATCTGAAATGTAGGCTTTAGCCAATGATGAACTATGCTTAAAAATGCCTAAAGTTGAATAATTGAAATATTTGTCATTATGTCCTTGACGAATATATACCTAATATAGCATAATCTTATAATTTTATTGGGGCATCTCTTGCAAGTTAACTTTATCTGATATTATTAGCTGCTAGCTAAAATAAGTAAATAAATAATGAATAACTATGCAAGATGAGATAACCTGTAGGAATTCTTGCTAAAGCCATGAACACTAAAGTATTTGAAAAACCAAGTAACGCATAGCCAACGGAGGTAAATAAAAGGCATATAATTATTACACGCCGTCGTCCTAGTAAATCGCTAAGATTACCCTACAGACAATATACTTTAATGAGATTGTGAAAATAGTTATCGTTAAGACTAACACAAACATTGCTCAATTATTGATTTTTCAAAAGGAATTGAATTTTGCATTTGCCACGTGATAATGACGCGTATAAAATAGAGACTTTACAGTGACTTACAACTACTGGGCTGGAAAATAATTGAAGTCCACCATATAAAGATCCTACATTGGTAGAAGTGACATTAAAATTGAGTCCCTTGGCTGCGATTCTGTGCAATACTCATTTTAATAATTTATTGCAACACTATATTGTACAAACGCGTATCAAATAAAGTGTCAAATTGATTACAAATTTTGATTACTATTATTTAGTAAAGGTTAATGGCATTTTTAAGTAGCAAAGTTACAATATGAGATATGAAATAACGTAATTACCGAATACTCCAGCGATTGCAGCATTACCACCCAATTCTCGAATGCGATGTGATACCAATGGTATAATAACACTTACTCCAAATAAATCCTAGGATTAGACGTTAAAGTCGATTATTGATTACCTGAGTAGAATCAATTCTTCAATAGAAATATCACAACAATAAGTTAGATTTAAAGTGTAGAACAGGTTCAACATTCTAGTACGAGTATAATAACAGCGTAACAAGTATATCGATTTTCTTCATGATATTGTATGATTGTATTCAACAATCACAAATAGCTGGGGCGAGTTATTATTTTCATTCTAGTATACTCTTTGATGATAATCTGTAATATACGATTATAAATATCAATTCGTTTTCTATACTGTTATAAAGAATAAGAGCATTATAATAACAACACCATTTTCAATGCCCAAATTGGATCATGCATGGAATTTAGGGAGGTATTATTATTGACCAATGTAGGGTAAAATCAAATCTTGACATTGATACTGCTATTATATACAAAGTGTTAGTACAGCGTATGATTTGGACGACAACATGCATCATTTAAGTAGCGTTAAGATTAATAATGTACTGGAAAAGAATTCAAATCAGTTGCAGTTAAAGTTCAATATAGTTAGTATTAGCACAGACTACTAGAAAAGAAGCCTTTTTCTAGTAGTCCTTGGTATTCGTTACGACGGGAACAATTGGATTATATTATCTACAGAGTGCAAGCCAAGATTCCAAGAGTGAAGTAGTACAGAACAGTAGAGTATTTGAGATTAATAATAATATACTGGAGAAGAATTAAAGATCGGTTGCGGTCAATGTTCGATATGATTACGATGGTAACAGCTGGATTATATGGTCTTCCGAGCGAATATAATTGCCAGAATTGATACTGTCACTGTGTTAAGTGAGTGTGTCTAAACATACAGACAGTACTGTACGTATATGATTAGGCAAAAGTATACACATTTACGATTAAATATGTGCTGAAAGGGAATTCAGAATCGATTGCATTTGAATGTCTGCGAGATACGATGGCAACAGTCAGGGGAGAGCAAAGCTCGGAAGACTGATTCTAATGATTAGACTAGAAATCAATTGATTAGAATCATGACACTTTTAGGTATTGGCAGCTCGCATACTCGTGTACAGTACGCAAGCCAATCACAGCAAGTTTTCCATATTAGTGGAGCTAGACTCTACCGTGCAGAAGAAAATGAATTGAAAATTAGGCACAATTCATAACCAACAAGAGTAAAGTAGTCCAACTAGAAGGTAACTACAGCAAAATTTATACTGTAGACTGTTGAAAATGGCAAAATAGACTGGCATTATTTCTAGTAGGCTACGGTCACATTCGACGAATGTACAACAAGAATCAAACAGTAGCAAGATATTAGAAGAGATCGACAGTCAAGCGTAAGCTGCTTCTTTCAAAATGGCTGCAGCTAAAATCTCTCTCTTGAATTATAATGAAGAACAGTAGATTGATTACGATTGGAATATCAGTTATTAACTATACTCGTATATTAAATCCTTTTCGCAGGATATTAACCATGTCTAAGCCAAAATTCAGTACTTTAGCGTTTAAAAAGTTGGAGAAAGCCGTAGGAATAGGATGATTCTACAATCATGAAGAAAATCTAGCCATGGATTCAGTTTAGGTTGTGTTTACTACAGTATACAGCGCGATTAACTTGGATGGCGTCGAAAATTTAAAGTTGTAATTTGTTCACGTTCCTGTCCCAAATGGATATATATTCTAGGGTTACGTCTACGTATAGGATTTTATCTACTTTGGGCTTGATTTAAGTTGCAATTTGTTAATACTCTTGTTCCAAATGGATATGTATTCTTGGGCTACGTCTGCATATAAGATTTTATCTACTTTGGGCTTGATTTAAGTTGCAATTAGTTAATACTCTTGTTCCAAATCGATATGTATTCTTGGGCTACGTCTGCATATAAGATTTTATCTACTTTGGGCTTGATTTAAGTTGCAATTGGTTAATACTCTTGTTCCAAATCGACATGTATTCTGGGCTACGTCTGCATAAAAGATATTATCTACTTTAGGCTTGATTTAAGTTGCAATTGGTTAATACTCTCGCTCCAAATCGATATGTATTCTTGGGCTACGTCTGCATATAAGATTTTATCTACTTTGGGCTTGATTTAAGTTGCAATTGGTTAATACTCTTGTTCCAAATCGACATGTATTCTGGGCTACGTCTGCATAAAAGATATTATCTACTTTAGGCTTGATTTAAGTTGCAATTGGTTAATACTCTCGCTCCAAATCGATATGTATTCTTGGGCTACGTCTGCATATAAGATTTTACCTACTTTGGGCTTGATTTAAGTTGCAATTGGTTAATACTCTTGCTCTAAATCGATATGTATTCTAGGGCTACGTCTACGTAAAAGATTTTATCTACTTTAGGCTTGATTGAAGTAGCAATTTGTTAATACTCTTGCTCCAAATCGATATGTATTCTTGGGCTACGTCTGCATATAAGATTTTATCTACAGTACTTTGGGCTTGATTTAAGTTGCAATTGGTTAATACTCTTGTTTCAAAATCGTTATGTATTCTTGGGCTACGTCTACATATACAGTAAGATTTTATCTACAGAACACTTTGGGCTTGATTTGGCCGACATAGTTTATTTATTTTCCTTAGTGCCAGCGAAGTTAATCCCACTGTATGTACTGGTAAACTATAGAGAGTAGAGTAGAGTACCGTCCATGCAATATTGGACTGCTTGTATAAACAGAGAGTGCAACGCTTATTTGTCATAACTATGGTATTTCAACTTGAATTGTTATAACAATCTTGTTGATGGCTATTTTATGGGAAATACAAGTCTAGTGTAAGATACCAGAAGCGAATGGATCGGATACTGGATAGTCATGAAGGCTAATAGGAAAATACAGACTGAGAATATGGATTGTATTCGTCTACGAATTCTGGTCGGAAAGCAATGTGTTGGCAGCAATTGACACTGACATGTGTAGACAGCGCAGCATTGCAATCATGCTCGCAACTGATTGGAAATACTGTTGTAACCTATCCTAGAGTGGCAGAAAGAAGTGAATACTAGTCCATAGCACCACATGTCATGGATATTTTGAATACTGTCAAGGAAATGGTTGCCCAATGAGTTGATGTTTGTCGACAGTCAGAATTTGATGTTGAGTAAATAGTCATTGCAAGTATTGTCTATAGCCACTTTGCAGGAATGAATGGGATGCCTGTCGCTAGTTAGTATTTCATTAGTAGGCAACTGGTGATGGTTACAGTAAGCTATTTGTAGAATTAGTCAACGTTTGGTTTACTGGCGGCAGATTGCAATGGATGCAGAGAGTATTTGGTGGTAGAAAGAAGCCATGAGAAAATACAAAGATAAGTGCTGATACGACTGTCCCACTTAGACAGCACAGTATAGCGTTGTACTCACTAGAAAGCCGATTAGGTAAAGCCAACGCGTGATGACTTGGCGTTGTTTGTTTGTTATTGGATTGGCCATGTTGGCACTATGCTAAGGGGAACAATTCAAGCTGTCAAGCCAATGGGAAGGCAGTCCAACTATGTCGTCGCTAATAGACTAAATTCTACCAATGCAATTGAATAATTTTCGATGGCAATCCAAGTCCACTATGGAGAAGAATTGGCCAAGCAATGGCGTCGATTAATTGGATTGCCACTTCAATTGCTTGAACCTCAATCAATCGACGACGAGTCTATTACTAGCGACTCCACCCTCGGGGCCAGACTTGCCACTGGGTCTGCTGGTGTCGAGTCGATTGGTGCGTCAATACAGTAGGTGTCGATCGCACATGGTTGAGCAGTTTGTGGTACTGTAGTGTGCTGCACTGTACACTGTACTGTACAGTATGAGTACTGTACACTGTACAACACTGTATGCAAAACGACATCTGGACGGATGTCGTGGCCGTCACTTCCAGTACAGTACTGTCTAGTTGATAGTCATTGGCACACTACAGTACAGTACTGTAGGAAAATAGTACAGTACTGTACAAACGCAATCTGGACGGATATCGTGACCTTTTCTAAATTGGCGCACTAGTCCAGTACAGAACGTTGAATTTATACAGTTTAATACTGTACACTACGGTACTGGAAGTGAAGGTCACTATATCCGTCCGGACTTGGTTTGGACTACCTTACTGTACAATGTACTGTACTGTAGTGTGTACAGTACTGTAAATTAGTATGAACCATACGGTACTCTACTGTACTGTACTGTAGTGTACTGGAATTGAGGTCACGATATCCGTCCGGATTTGGTTTGTACTATTTTCCTGCAGTACTGTACAATGTACTGTAGTGTGCAAATTAGTTTGAATCATACTGTACTGGAAGTAAAGGTCACGATATCCGTCCGGACTTGGCTTGTACTCTTTTCCTACAGTACATACTGTACAGTGTACAGCATATAGTACAGTAGTGCAAATTAGTATGAAGTTCATACTGTACTATGAACCATACAGTACTATACTGGAAGTGAAGGTCACGATATCCGTCCGGATTTGGTTTGTACTATTTTCCTACAGTACTGTACAATGTACTGGACAGTACTGGAAGTAAAGGTCACGATATCCGTCCGGACTTGGCTTGTACTCTTTTCCTACAGTACATACTGTACAGTGTACAGCATATAGTACTGTACAGTAGTGCAAATTAGTATGAAGTTCATACTGTACTATGAACCATACAGTACTGTACTGGAAGTGAAGGTCACGATATCCGTCCGGATTTGGTGAGGAACTGAGTCAGGTCTAACTGAGTGAGTACTATTTTCATACAGTGTACAGACAGTCCCGTACAGTATAAACTCAATGGACTGTACAGTGTACAGTGTGCAGTACAGTCTTGTACGGTACTAGTGCGCAAATTCAGAAAAGGTCACGATATCCGTCCAGATTTGGTGAGGACTATTTCCATACAGTACAGTACAGTGTACAGTACAGTCCCGTACAATATAAACTCAATGTACTGTACTGGAGGTACTGTAGACTACAGTACGGTACAGTACGCTCTTTTCCACTACAGTACTGTACAATGTACAGTACATGTACTGTACTGTAGTGGTCGATGACTCCATGTTGCAAGCGCTCTCCATACGTACCGTACTGTACTGTACTATACGTAACTATAGGGGACCCAACCGACGGCAGTCGATAGAAACGGTTGGGAACCACACGAGCCGCGTCCTGCAAGTTACCTACTCTACTTGGCACACTAGACGAGGATTTCTAGGTGCCATTTTGCAACCTTCTACCACTGCAGGAAAAAGAAAACTTGGACAACCAATTCGTCGAAGGAAATCTTGATAACGTCTTCCATTACAACCACAATCTCTCGGTAGCCAACCATGGATTCTATCATTGAACAACAACGGGGATATCATGAAGAATTAGAACGCGTCGAAGATGCCATGATTAAAGAAAATCTTCGTAAAAAGATATCGGTAAGAACTCTTGATGGAGAGAGAGCCAAAGCTTGCTCAATTACATCATAGGATAAGCTTCACTAGCAACAACTTGCAATCAATTCACACTTCAATCATGCCTTATCCAGTACATATTGGCTGGTGGTGTATAACCTTGTATACTAAACCACTAGTCATGGACATAGTGAGCAATCATACTCAAAGAAAATAATTCATCTATTCTTCATTCACTGCTTGCATTGCACTGGCTAGTGGGAAACTCGACGCCTATTCTCATCATCATTTCCTTGACAATATTAGCTTTCATGATTGCTTCATCATCTATACAGTAATAAATAAATGCTTACAATGATGCTAACGAGTGGAGAAATGAAATAATACAAGCATTCCTAACACAATTTCAATCTAATTCTGCCCATACATATATATATCATCACATGAATGATACTAAATTCAGCTTTTTCTTACCCTATAGTATCGTGATCAAATCAACAGTCAACATTACGTCAAGCAATTACTCGAGGTAGGTTGAAAGCAATCTTGCACTGCATTCAAATCTTAGTATAATATGTTAGCGATATTCTACAGCAAGGTAATGCATTGTCAACGCTAGTCTAGTAGCTACCTATCAATAGGCAAGTTACACTTGCCTCATAAGGGATTAACTACAATGGATTCACAACCTCGGTGTAGACGTACCTCATACTCTACAATACTCCTTCGAGTATTACTAAATGATAGACGATATATCTATTAATCTTACAATTCCGTACTAGCTATAAGCTAGCTCATATTATGTTCTTCTTTCTTGCTAATGATTATTCGTCTATGAAAAACGTATCTGCTAGCGTGCTACGGAAATTAGCGAACTATTGGTGGAATCTTATGAAGATGGAGATGAGTATGTTACTTGCACAATCAATTATAGCTGTTCCCATGAGGAATTTCATCAATCACATTGTTATAATTGCTTATATTCTAAAGGTTACGCAAAGAAGAAGTACAATCAGTGTCTGGATCCAACGAATTTGCTGAATTTTATCGACGTTATAAATCCTTAAAGGATTACTATGCTCGTTATCCAGCAGACGTAAGTCAACTCGTGAGACTAAATTGTACATCTACATAATTTTCCATCTTCAACAACATACCAATTTCGTTTCAAAATTCAACCATCTTACCTATGAATAGCAATTCTTACACTGTATAGTAACTTTGTTATAAATACAAATGTGATAACAATAGTAATCCACACAGAGTAATATCAACACTACTCGTCTTATCAAATATTTCAAATTGAGATTTTGTAGCTTTTAAATAAATTGAAGTTAATGTAATCTTAGAGTAGCATTCCTATTTATAATAATACTCCACAATAAATCATCAATTCTATATAAACAATGATTATGATTTAGATTCAAGAACCTATGCAGTTCGAGTTTCTGAAAATGCAAGAAGCGTTTGAATCTCAATCAGAGGATGTGCAGAGTAAGTATTGAATTTAAACTACAAGTACAGTATAGTTCTCTCTGTAGCCTTTGATTCCTAAACCAATATAACATAATAGTAATCTAGTTCATGAAGTAAGTCTTTAGCAGCTGTTCTTGTAACTATCACAAATCTTAACGGTAAAACCAATAATCTGTTATTAATCTTGACTAATACAGATCTGGTAACTTTTACCGATGAAGAGGGCTATGGAAAGTACTTGGATCTGCATGAGTGTCATGAAAGATATAATAATCTTAAAGGATTGGAAGTACGGGACTCACTAATTCATAATACTTTCTAATTTATTATTGTTTCGCAATCTTACTAGTACGACATGGTAAAATTGAAACTGTTCCAACTGTAAATATATTTTTTAATAAGCAATCAACTTATCGCTACTTTCGTCTATTTTGAACTTAGCATGTGGACTATTTAACTTATATTACAACCTTTGATCAACTATTTGAAGTACCTAAAGAAAAGAAAAACAATGATTATAAGGAGTAATTATTAACTTGAATCTCGTTGGTAAATCATGGATTACAAACATCAATTTATTAATCGCATTAATTCCTCCAGTTATCTAGATTCATTACTCAAGTACTTATTTTCATACCTTGAGCGTATCAAGCCTTTACTTGATCTAGATAAGGTATTATCAACGTTATATCATAAAGTGAATGCCAGCTTGCACGAGATCACATACATCAGCCTAGTAGTCCTGTTATGTGCGATCCATTTGCGATTATTACGTAAATACAAGTAACTGATTAATTATAATGCGTTTCATTAGGAATATGACACTGCTAAAGAAGATTTCGAAAATAAATGGTCACTGGGCACATTCCCCGGTTGGCCGGTTAGTAACTTTGTGTTAACCATGCAATGAAAAATGTTATTTTTATATTGAATTGTGGAATAAAAGTGTTACAAATTATCTGGATATTAGAAAGATGCGGGTAGTGCCCTTTCGCGAACTGGAGCTGCCCTTGATTTATCAGCGTTTTCTTCATCTGAGGTATAGTATTATGTCTATTTAATACCTAAGTTCGACAGGAAACTATGTAACATTTGACTTAACTGATTCAATTAGGAACTGATGTCCCTTGGATTAGATAGATTAAAATCGGCGCTTATGGCCTTGGGATTAAAATGCGGAGGGTTAGTTGAAAGATTCCTTGAATTGTGTTTTAGTGATGTATGTATTTTAAATCGGTTAATATTGTTTTAAAATAGTACTTTGGAGGAGAGAGCTAAGCGTCTTTTTAGTACCAAAGGTGAGTAACAAGAGTGCGAGCTTCTATTTCAGTCAAGATATACATACTGTACTTATAACGATAAATGGATGTCTTTTTAGGCAAAACTTTAGATCAGATAGATTCGTCTCTGTTTACTAAAACGAAAACAGGAAAAGGGCACCAGTAAGATTAAAATTTATAATTAAAGGACCCTTTGCATTAACACAGCATTATCATACTAATCTGATTATCTTACTGTAGAGAGGGAAGCGATCGTAATAAGGAAATCGCTGGTTTAGAAGCTCAAATTTATCACACCTCTGAATTACTAGGAGTAGGCATCCTACCAATTTGACCTATCGTATATAGATGTAATAGCTAAATTTATTTAAATTGAATTGATTTCTCTTATACTTTTACTTGCATACTAGACACAGAGGTCTCAAACGCGAGAAAATATAGAACGTAAATTGGCACGTACTGCGGAAGAGTTAGAGGTACGTGGTGGTAACTGTTTTATAGTCAGTTGTTATTTTGCTTGAAAGGAAAGGAAATCCGATTATAACGTACGTACGGTATTATATAAACGAATGTTAGGAAGAAGAAGAGGTGGAACAATATAGTGAGTCGGAATCTGATGATGATGGTGAAGAAGGTGTATTGTATAATCCTAAGAATCTACCCTTGGGTTGGGATGGCAAGGTGATCTGCCTATGAGATGCTATGTTACATATCTAACTATTAGTATTTGTTAATTATTTGATATTATGTTGTTTAATATCGCCAATATACTTTGCTTCATTTTATACTGTAGCCTATTCCGTACTGGCTTTACAAATTACACGGGCTCAATATTTATTATGACTGCGAAATTTGTGGAAATTATTCATATAGAGGACCGAAAGCTTTTCAAAGACATTTTGCGGTAATTTTACTCGATAAGATATGGAAATGTCCGAAGGGGAATTTTTTTAACCGCTTTATGTTAACTGATAGGAGTGGCGTCATGCTCATGGAATGCGCTGCTTAGGAATACCCAATACTGCTCACTTTGCAAATGTTACCAAAATTAAAGATGCATTATCACGTATGAAATAGTTGATTGTCATTTCTATCGGGCATGTATAATGCCTCTATTACTTTATGACTGTTTAATTTCATTAACCTTTATAAAACTATAATTTCCATATGATTCGTTGCCGTTAAAGTAACGCAGTAATTATCGCTTGTTTCGTAGTTTGGGATAAATTGAAAGATTCAAAGACTAAAGAACGGTTTGATAGCGATGCTGAGGTATTATACGATTCGTACAGTACACGTTGCTTTATCTGCAGCGTTTAAATAGAGACGCTACAATACAACTGTTAGACCTCGAACTAAAACTCTTGGGTCAACTTTAGGAGGAATTCGAAGACTCATTCGGAAATGTAGTTAATCGCAAAGTGTACGATGATTTACGAAAGCAGGGCCTTTTGTAATGGAAAAAGGAGGTATATAACTGTAGCGAAAATAAAAACATTTTCTATCTTGTAAATGATTTACGTCCTGGCAGATATATAAAGTCCATGTTTACCAAATAAAATCTCCCTTTTTGTTGTTGAAATTGACGTAGCTATTACTGATACCCGTACTACTGTACTAACGTTGTGGTATGCTATCGATTCTTCTAATGTAGGTCACCTCACAACCTTTATAGGAGTATTAGCTTCATGCAGACCATACTAGAACATTAGAAACCAATTGAAACTAAATATGCGCATGTTTCTTCTTTTCCATTAATCGAGCGTGTCACAATTGATGAGAAGGTACCATCCATTTACTTACAAGTGATTTCTCGACCAAAACTAATTTTACCGACTTACTTTGCGAATATAAATAGCGTACGTCTTTATTATATTATACGATCTTTATTGCCTTATTTCTAATTAGCTTTTCGATCGAACGTTATCATGTCACTGAACTGTTGTAAATGATGTGAATGCTAGTACTATAATGCTAGAATTGACAACTTTATAAGTTTCCCACATTATGGCCCTGCCCTGCAGGACATCTTTTTTACATTGTATTGATGATGCGTTGCTATTTCGTGTAATAATGTATTGTATTGTGTTCCAGACGTAACTAACTTTATTAGGATAAATCTTACTGTACATGTAAACTATTAACCTATGAACGATAGCCATCGCGGCTCACCGGAACTGTTCTGTTAGGGTAAATATTAGCACGCGCAAAGAAAATGATGTCTGATCAAAAGCTTATTTTAATTATTTCGATTATACTGTGGGAATGATCTTTGCATATCAAACTACCGTAGTGCCCTTACAGTACAATAAAAATCCTCTTACAGATAAGATTGTTTTTGGCGCAAATTTGGCCAAAATTGAAGAAATTTTGTATTTTCGGATGAGGTAAGTTACAGGGATTGACTTGAGTAATTGAATCTCTATAGTTCAGCACAGTATAATACAGATAGTTTCCGGTAGTGAAAATGTTGTCATTTCGTAAATTGATAAATTCAATTCTTGACAGTTATTATTAAATATACACCACACATGATATTTGAACTACGGTATTGTAGTCTTCTGGTGTCACCGATGCTAGCATTTCAAGACAACGCATGAACATGGAGGATAACAATAAAATCTTGAAGTTTTTTTAATGATAAAAATTATTAATTTTATCGTTTTATATGTGAATTGCATATCTAAACTTTGATATTGGGCGATATTCAGCCTATGCGTACTACCTGTACCATTGCGAATACCGTAATATTTCTATACTGTCATTCATAGACTTACTGTATAATTCTTGCATGAGAATTGAACATGCACTCATCTACTCATCTCTTACTCTCTCTTACAGTAGAAAAAGAACGGGACACCCAACTACTTTAACTGAGTATAACCAATTCTATAGTACAGCAGTAAATAGAAAGTAATACGTCTCATAGTGTGTACGTAATATCTATAAATGATGTGAAGATTGGCAAATAAGGGATGAACAGTACTATCCGATTTTCGTACAATTTTGATAGACTTTAATAGTACTTTGGTACTGTTCATACTATGAGAGTATAAGTTGAAGCTAGGCGATTTTTAATTTATTATACGTATCAATTATTGCCTACTGCTCGTCGTCATTAAATCATAATAGAAAGTCACTCAAAATTGGTTGTCCAAGGTCAGTAAGTAGTCACTTTTCTACCTAGTGTAGTCATGGAGAAGACATTTATCCTATCAACAGCCATATCGCAATGCGGTTATTGAATCAAGTCTATTAAAATCGCGACACCACTATTAAAACGCATAAAAATTGCACGCGTTGTGGATATTACTGTTGATCCAATCGCTCATGCCTTGCATCAACGAAAGAATATTTTGATATCCTAATATTAATTGATTGCTGTCCACCTTAGCAACTCTCTTTATCATCTGTCTAGATTCAAGTCTATTAAAACGCATAAAAATTGCACGCGTTGTGGATATTACTGTTGATCCAATCGCTCATGCCTTGCATCAACGAAAGAATATTTTGATATCCTAATATTAATTGATTGCTGTCCATCTTAGCAACTCTCTTCATCATCTTCTTGAATCATCTGTCTAGATTCAAGTCTATTAAAACGCATAAAAATTACACGCGTTGTGGATATTACTGTTGATCCAATCGCTCATGCCTTGCATCAACGAAAGAATATTTTGATATCCTAATATTAATTGATTACTGTCCACCTTAGCAACTCTCTTCATTATCTTCTTGAATCATCTGTCTAGATTCAAGTCTATTAAAACGCATAAAAATTACACGCGTTGTGGATATTACTGTTGATCCAATCGCTCATGCCTTGCATCAACGAAAGAATATTTTGATATCCTAATATTAATTGATTACTGTCCATCTTAGCAACTCTCTTCTTCATCTTCTTGAATCATCTGTCTAGATTCAAGTCTATTAAAACGCATAAAAATTACACGCGTTGTGGATATTACTGTTGATCCAATCGCTCATGCCTTGCATCAACGAAAGAATATTTTGATATCCTAATATTAATTGATTGCTGTCCACCTTAGCAACTCTCTTCATCTTCTTGAATCATCTGTCTAGATTCAAGTCTATTAAAATCGCGACACCACTATTAAAACGAATAAAAATTGCACGCGTTGTGGATATTACTGTTGATCCAATCGCTCATGCCTTGCATCAACGAAAGAATATTTTGATATCCTAATATTAATTGATTACTGTCCACCTTTGCAACTCTCTTCATCATCTTGAATCATCTGTCTAGACTCTAGACTCACTTTGGGAATGTATTTTACAGTCTTTCCACGTGTGCTGTACTATGTACTACGGTTGCATAGTGGATCCTGTAGAGTGTCTAATACAGTCCACGGATAGCAGTCTAATTACAGTATAGTATTACAAAGAGCAGAAGAATGGAAACTTGGATGCCCTATCTCTATGCTCTACTGTACTCTTCGGCCAAGTGATCACTAGTGGATAGTATGCTATTGCATGTACTGTACGAGACATGACAGTCTTATAGTACAATACATTGTAGAAGTGAGTACTATACACTGTAAGGCAACTTTTCTTGGTATCGTAAATGACTGCATACTGGATAGCTTTGACTAAAATTGATGTCACCGGAAGTCAATCATTCGTTACTCAGACTGCGTGGTAGTGACATTATTTTTGATGAGGATGGGTACTAGCCCAGTCTACTGTACTGTACTGTATGTTACAGACCATGCAAAGAGAAACGGGTAATGTACTGTATTGCAGAAAATGCAAATGGCCTCTTATGCCAAAATTAACGCGGATGCCTAGACTAAAGCTAAACCCTAAACCTTCTCCGACTTGCATTCGAACTCGTCCCTAATTGTAAAGCAACACAAGTCACCCTCAGACTTTGTATTACATGAAAAATACGCTGCATCGGTTATCTGAAGAAAAATAGAGGAATATTAAAGGAAAGGAAGACGATATGGCTACTATAGCATACTGGACACGGTATAGTACTGCATAATATACAGGTACAGTATCAGCTTTCCCTCGTCGCTTGCAAAAAGAGTGTCACTTGTTCTGGACTCAGGGACTACCTAGAGTGCTAAGTCATCCTTACAGGTGACATCAGTTTCAATCAACGCCATACACGTCAACCCTAGTCCGCGTACAGTACGTCAATTACAGTGTACAGTGTGTTTACAGAACTGTATACTGTATGGATTGTACTGTATGAATCGTGCAGATCGGTAGTAACATGGCGGATGCGGGTTTCTTTCGTGTAAGTATACTACTTCTTGCTTCTATTTCCATTGAATAAGGAGGATAAATCATAATGTATCTTCAAAATCGATCCATATTGTAGGGCACAAGTACAGAGCAGGATGCTCGTTTTTCAGATAAGGACAAAAAACTCCTTAAAATGATGAAATTTGCTAATAATCTAAGTGTTAAGGTAAGATGGAAGAGGTGCACAAATTTGTCAACTACTTCTAATTAGTCTATGTCCATGACAACACTTGACGAGCTACTTTCAACATACAACAGATAGACAGATGTGTTAGTGTATGTAGACATTCATGTATTGCATTTTACTACTTAGAACTGTAAGTTACATGTAATGTTAATGTATTAGAATTGGAAACAAATCCAATGCTACTAGTTTTCACTTGCACACTCACTGCATTTTTTTATTCATGGATATTGAATTTGGTGTAGATTGATATGGAACGCGTTAACTTAGACACGGTGAAACCATGGATTAGCAATAAAGTCTTGGAAATTTTAGGCATTGAAGATGACGTATTTATCGACTATGTTATCAACATGTTGGAATCCGAGCGTGTAAATATGTCTAATATTCAATATATAATATAATCGAATACGAGTACGAGCTGAAATCATGTTCATGGAATAGTTTGGCTCAGATAGTACAACACCATGATGGGCAATATTATTAAAAATTAGAAAACAACTAAACATCATGAAATGATCATAAACTTCTCATACTATGCTATCTATTTTAAAAATAGATACCATATCTTAATACTACAATATCCTATCGACTTCTACGTTTATCAGTTTCAAAAGTGTTCATTGTTTTACTCAAATTGCTGCATACGTACGCGTATGTTTAAGGGTTAAAACTACTAATCTGTGGTAATTTAGTATTTATTACTTGTCAACATTTATAGCATCCTGACCCTAAGCGCATGCAGATAAATGTTACTCCTTTCTTACAAGCTAAACCTGCTACCAAGTTTATGCAAGAACTATGGAATATGTTAGCATCTGCTCAGGAGAATGTAAGTGGTATTCCTAGTACCATGTTAGAGAAAAAGAAAGAAGAAATACGTCTTCGTAAGGTAAAATTGCTATAACACGGTGATTTTCCTTCTTCACTAAATGTAGTACGATACAGCAATAATTATAGTTGTTTGTTGCCATCGCTATATTATCTCCATACTAGCGGCCTAAGTGTACAGTTTTTGACAACTAACTTGATAAATTAATCGCGAATGAAATAGTCCTTTCAATTATTGCTTGTCGCTAATGTAAATGAAATGTAATTGCAAATAGGAAGAACAAGACAGAATTGCCGCCAACCTGCAGCGGCATGTTGCAGCATCCGATGATCCTGTACCGGATAAAATTGCTTCTAAACGATCCCCAACCAATAGTGAGGTATGAGAAATGAACCTGCAGAAATTTGGACGGTATTCAAGTTAAATTGGTCTATTAATTGATTGCAATATTGCTATTATTTTACATATGCACTTGTAAAAATATTCCCTGCCAATTAGCCATCCAAATCAAGCGCAGGTGAGTTATTTATCCGATGCTATTCTAAGCTATTGCTGATCGCATATAGTGTGAATATAATAACATGTAATCTAGAATACTTCATCATAATTATGAGTGTATAACATTTTCCTTTATTTACGCTCCCATTTCTCACAATATCAGGAAGCCACAGTAGTTCCTCTGAAAGGTACTTATGTTAAAAATTTTGTATCATTGAGATCAATGCTATTATAGATACATTCTAGCATCTTTATTATAATAATAATATTGACTTCTAATTCCGGCTGCAAAGTGATGATTCTCATTCTGACCACCGTAAAAGTCATCGAGACGATCGTCGTCAAAGATCTCGTAGTCCACGTCGTCAGCGATCGCGTAGTAGATCCCGTAGCCCACGTCGTCGTCGTCGTCAGACCAGATCTCGCAGTCCTCGGATTCAAAAACGTGCATCACGAAGCGTATCGAGTAGTCCCCGTCGTCGACGATCACGAAGTAGATCCACAAGTCCTCGTCGACGCCGATCACCTAGCAATCCTATCAGACGTCGACGCCGATCACCTAGCAATCCTATCAGACGTCGACGCCAAACCAGCGGATCCGTTAGTCCACGCCGTCGTAGAAGTAGAACACGTAGTCCACGTAAACGCCGTTCACGGACCAGTTCCATTACTCGACGAAGACGTCGATCCCGAAGTGAATCGCACGGGAGATCTCGCCGACGTAAATCACGTAGCCCACCTCGTCGACGTAGATCATATAGCCGATCATACAGTCCACCAAGGCGTCCTATACGTAGTAGCCCATGGCGACGTCGAAGATCACCAAGTCCTCGCCGACGCCGTTCGAGTAGATCATATAGTCCGCGTAGACGTAATCAACAACGTAATCCGCGCTGGCGAAGATCACGCAGTAGGTCAAATAGCCCTCGCCGAAGACGGCGTAGTCGATCTCATAGTCCTCGTAAAGGGAGATTTTCTACTAATAAATCACGTAGTCCAAGCTCACAAAGCGAATCTGCCGAAGAAATCTCTAGAAGTAAAAAATCTCGCTATGAATCCAGCAGAAGCCGTCGAGTTCGATCAAATAGTCCAAGTAGAAGACGTTCAAGAAGTGTATCAGATAGTGGTCGTTCCAACAAAAGTAGAGATAGATCCTATAATTCGCCTGATAGAAGACAACGTAGTGGCTCTGAAAGTTCCTATGCAAAGAGGGCAAAAAACAAGTCTCCTGATAATCGTAGGATAAGAAAATCCAGTGATTCCGTAGACCCTACGCAAGAGAAATCGAAAAGTAGATCTGTTACACCTGCAAACGATACTGTAAGAGCTAGTAGAGAATCCAGTGAGAAATCAGATGACGCTGAAGCTGAAGTTTCCAATAATACGAGCTTAGAGCTGAAGAAGAACGGTAGCGCAACTCACAAAGATAGCGTACCTGAAGGTAGTAGTCAGGCTGAACAGAGGATGGAAGTAGGCGATGAAAATGACGACGTGCGTAAATAAAACTTTTATCAATAACTAATACAAGTAAAATATGTCATGATTCATGACACTTTTGCATCTATATGTAAGTAATAAAAGATATAAACTATGACCGCTATATAGGATGGTAGTCCAGCTCGAAAAGAAGTGGATCGTAGTCAAAGTCATAAAAAGAAGAAAAGTAAAAAGCACAAGAAGCACTCTTCGAAACATAAACATAAACATAAATCAAAAAAGCATAAAAAGGAGGAGTTATCTGTAAGTGGCAGCGATTCTCAATAATAACTTTAACGAGAATACGATGCGAATATCTGCATATCCGTATGTGACCCTTTCTTGTATAACCTAAAGTATTTCTTAATGATGCTGTCCGAATTACAAAGTAGTTACAACATTTGTGGTAAAGTAATTGCTATTTTAAATACTTTCATTGGTAACTTAAGGTATCACAAGGCACTGACCTTGAAGAGTTGGAAAAAGATCTACGCGAGAAGGCGTTAAGGTCAATGAAACGTTCTGGTAGAAACTTAGATAGTAATGATTCCTAGATTATGTGCATCGAAGTTTACTAAAAATTATGTAATTCATTTTTGATAACACCATCTTGTTTACTAATTACTTGTTAGTCAAGAATCTGTATAATACAGAATGGCCACATGGTTATTAACGTTGCAATGAAAACATTATGCTGTAAACTGTCTTACTGTACATTAAATGACATTTGTTGTTCATACATGGCAATCTTTCTTGGTTGCATAAGTTGTAACCTGACCATAGTTTCGTAGCTACATGATGACGTACAGGACGATTCGTTTAAGGTAGAAGTCAATATGCATGATGCTTTATCAATGACTTTATCAATGATAATACGACTACCCAACTGCCTATCGGTTATTTAAGCAGTTGTTATTCGTATATTATTACTATATCATCAGCTTGCTTGCAATTTTAATTAAATTGTCTCCTGCATTGATATTATTAATGAATTATAAATACGTTGACACAGTGCTACTTTCAGCTTACTATGCTGTCTGCAAATCGTAAATTCTTAGTTAGGAACATGATTAGATCATACGACATCACACTTAGTATGCTGTCTTTCCCCAATAATTGCAGACACTTTGATAGAGTAAGTGAAACTAAGCTTACAATTTATTACTACCTGTTATGTTTTTATGACCGAATAGCAGGAGCCAATAAATATTTGAAAACCAGTAATGAGCCTAACTTATATTTAGATGTCAATAACAAATAATATAATACTAGTTTACTTTACATTTCTATTTGCTTGATATTATAATATCCATTTACTACTCTCTTGAAAGCCCTATAATGTTGGAGAAGAAGCGAGAAAAAGCTACCCAACTAGCTAGACACCACTTTCAGAAATGGATTCTACTTTCTAACATGATGCCGTTTTTTTCTGATATTTATTTCACAACAATAGCCGCTTTATTGCCAAGAGATCCCAGTGTCGTCAGTATACGATACAAGTCGCTAATTATCTAGTTTGGAAAACGTTCCTGTATTTAAACTCATCCAATAGATCTTTTTCATCAATTTAAAATAATACAAATAGCAGTTCCCAAATGTATCCAAAATATAACTTTTAATGCTGCCATCGTACACTTTTTATGCTTTCTATCTAAATAATTCAAAATTTGTTTCACTTTACTTTTATGCGCTTTAATACTCATGCAAGTAAAATTAATCTTAAAACCGATGGTAACAGTAATGCTTTCCTACACCAAAATCGGAAGAAAGTGCAATTTTGGTTACTTTTAAACTGAATAGATTGCAGCAATTTACGTTAATTTCATACACGCTATAACGTTGTAGTTACAACAACAGAGTTGTATAACGTTTGCATATTTCTTTGGCTTTATTATATAATATACTAAATTAGCCTCTCTTAGTTCGATACTACTAATATCGCTATACACGTATATGTACTACATTTATTCATTTTACTCGTAAAGTAGTAGGTATGCTACGGTCAATCCCGGGAATGACCGAATAACATTTATACCTAAAACAGATTACTTTACAGTTAAAAGGACTTTAATAGGCATGATTGATCGATACTATCTTTGATCATCTAATACAATTCATTATTATGATAAACTTATGAAACAGGAAAGACTTGCAATATATCACTGCTGATCCATCAAATCATCCTAATAAAATTGAATCACTTAATAATATTGCAACTGAAGCTTAGTATGAAATCACTACATTTATGCAATATAAATCCGTAGAAAGTTATTGAAAATTAATTAATAAATCAGTTAGCCATTTCATACTTTTTTATTGCAAGTAGTTAAGAATAATTTATGAAGCGATGTTAGTATTCAGTTTACATCTAGAAAGGAACAATGACAGTAGTCCTTATATATGAACTTATTCATGGCTTAATCGTTGTACAATCGTCATTTTCGAGATTGTAATCGTAGCTTGAGCTAAAAACTTTCTCCCTTGCCGTCATAACTATGTAGAATAATACTACATTGGTATAATTTTTACTTCATCATCTACTGAATACGATCACCTTCTCGTAATAATAGTATAGAATTTCAAAAGGAACTATGAAATTAACATATACTACGTATATCCTGTGCGTGATATTTCAAGGCGCAATTGGGAAAATCCGTCGAGGATCAAAAGGCAAGTTTTTACTTGTTAGATGCAAATTATATCTTACAAGTTCTTGATGAATCACCATCACGGCATTTCCAATTAAAATCTATAAATTTCCTTAGGAATACATCGCTTATTTCAAGGATAAATTCGTTGATCATATTTGGCGACAATTCAAATCAATACACGCACATTCCAATCCGATGTCGTAACAAAATAGCGCAATCACAAAATTATTCTCTGAATTCTCGGAATTAACCAGTTAGACTGTATTAAACATTGCCCATTGAAATCCTAGCTGTCTCTATCATACAGCTTATCCTTATTTCGTATAACTCAGGGTTTCACTTAATTCTCTGTGAAAGAAAGTCAGAGTAGGAATCTTTCCTAATGGATAATTATAATCAGCATAAAGTAACTTCAAAATAGATTTCTTTCCTTACTGC